CCTGCCCCTGTATTGCATTCTTAAAAATTGCTAAAAGGGTTGATTTTAACAGGTATCACCAGAAAAAAATGCTAGTTAATGCACACATTAGTTCAATTTAGCCCATTCTACAATATATACATGCTTCAAAACAATGTTGTACACCTTAAATATATATTCATCACTTAACATTCTCCCCCAAAATTCATGATTTAAAATATACACATATAGTATAGTCTGTAGCATGCCTTGACTTTCCTACCAGAGAAAAGCTACCTTTTTGTAGAATAGCATTTACCTAGTTATTCCTAACATTTTTTTCAGCCTAATCCCTTGTTCGCCCTCAGGTCAATGAAGCAATTTCAATAAGTAATATGCTTATTTTCTTGAGGAAAAGGTCAGCCCTGGGGCCGGCGCTGTGTAGGCTATCCTCTGCTTTCAGTGCTGGCATCCCAGATGGGCACCACTGTCGCTCCCCGTCTTCGTGGAGGAACGACACAGGACCCTGCGCTGTTCTTTCGTCCGCTCGGCCCTCCCCGGGTTTGCTGCTGGTTCTTCCCGGGCTGGCTACTATCCCTTCCACCTCCGTGGAAGGGCAGTTCCCCCTGGCCACATTCCCCACTTCCGCAGGGGAGCGGCACACCGCCGGCCGGCTTTCTCGGGGGCTGCACGGGTTCCCTTAGATGTTCCCCATAGATGTTCCCGGTGCATGCCGTCTCTTTCCTCCTTTATAGTCCTCCTCCGCCAATCCTAACTCGGCTGCCCACACGCCGAGTATGCTGCTCTCCAATCAGGAGCAAGTCCTACAGTTTATTGGCTGAACTGGAGGCAGCTGCGTAGAAGCTGTTTTCTCCTCTCCCAGCGCCATATTGTGGGAGAGCAGATGCATAGAATAAGTCTTAATTCCAGTAACTTAGTCTAGTCCGAATTGCTCCCCACACACCACCAGTTCATGTCCTGGCTGCCAGACTCCCAATCCAGCTCTCTGCTAGGGCCTGGGAAAACAGTAGAAGATGGCCCAAGTGCTTGGGCCCCTGCACCCACATTGGAGACCAGGGGAAGCTCCTGGCTCCTGGCTTCAGATTGGCTCAGCTCTGGCTGTTGCAGCCATTTGGGAAGTGAACCAGCGAGGATGAGGGACATGAGGTGTGCAGTAAATGCCAGATGGAAGACCTCCATTTGTCCCTCTCGTCTGTAACTCTGCCTCTCAAATAAGTAAGTAAATTCTAAAAAATAAAAAATAAAAAAAGGAAGCCCTTTTATCAGATTCTCAGAGTGACCTCTTGTGGCTCAGCAGGTTGAATCATTGCCTGCACCCCTATCAGAATGCCTGGCTCTTCCACTTCCAATCCAGCTTCCTGCAAATGCACCAGGGAGGCGGCAGGCGGGCAGCCTGGGTACTTGGCCTGACAGCCACATAAGAGCTCCCGGCTGTGGTTCCCAGTTCCTGGCTTCACACAGAGTGATTAACCTACACCATCCAGGTTTGTGTAAATACACCTCATGATGTTCATACAACAAAGACACTGACTACACAATTCTCAGAACATGCCGTCAACGAACTGCTTCCACACATACACTTCACGCTTCCACAATTACGCATCGGGTTCTGTGTGACTAGGAAGCACAATGAGAAGGGTACAGTCTTTGGGCATGCTAGGTTTCTGACTCAAGCAAAAATTCACTAAGTAATAATGTCATTTCTCACACTTGATCTCAGCCAAAAGGCTGAGAAGCAAAGTCATTTCTCAAACTGAAAAACAGTGAACGATAACAAACTCGCCGGGCATTCGCTGGGATGAGAGCAATTCAGGATGTGTTAAATTTGATGAACTCGCAACGTAACTAAGGCGATAAGATCATCTTGACCAAGGGAATCTAAAAAGGAAATAGTCACATTATCCATATAAAATTAACAGTCTGGAGATGATCAAAGCTGTGATAGACTGCATGGACAGATAACAAGAGAAGGAAAATGTGTCACACGTACAGCAAATATATATCAACAAGAAAAAGTCAACCCCAGGGAAAAGAAATGTCAATTTTCACAGAAAACTGCAAACTCCAATGCAAAACTGTTGTATTCACACTAGCCAAAAATATTGTCCACGCATGGATGCACCTCAAGGCATGATGTGAAGTGAAAGTTGCCAACTGCAGGATCCCATTACGTGGGAGGGGCAGCAGACTGACTACAAAGTGGCAATAGGGGACGTCTTGGTGACGGGAATATTCTGTATCTTGGCTCCATGACTGCATCTGTCAAAATCATGTGCTAAAACACATGCACTTTATCAAATGCAAATTAACTTCAGTGGTAGATTTTTAAAAAAATACTTAAGGATACATGCTAGGTTATTATTAACACAGATTGGAATATGATGGGCAAGAAGAGAAAGCCAAGGAAAGGTAAAAAAAAAATAAAGTCATACGGTGCTGTGGCACAGCTGGTAAAGCAGCCACCTGCAATGCTGGAATCCAATATAGTTGCTAGTTCAAGTTCCGGCTGGTCAACTTCCAATCCAGCCCTCTATTAAGGCCTGGGGAAGCAGTGGAAGATGGCCCAAGGGAAGATGGCATGGGAGACCTGGAAGAAGTTCCTGGCTCCTGGCTTTGGACAGGTGCAGCTCTGGCCATTGCAGGCATCTGGGGAGTGAACCAGTGGACAGAAGATCTCTCTTTCTCTGCCTCTCTGTAGCTCTGCCTTTCAAATAAATAAAATAAATCTTAAAAGAAAAAAAATCATATTTAAAAATTGTATCTGTAATCCCATTTACATATTCATGAAAGAGCCAATGTGTATACATTAAAAAATCTTTTGCGCTACCCAACACTGCAATGTAATACTTGTAGCCGTGACACACTCTTACTCAGGGGCAGAGAAGAGCATGGAAGCCAGAACAGCGTATGAAAGCCAGATGTAAGGGATTACGGGAGTGAGAGACAGAGGGAGAGGGACAGTGAATTGAACAAATCTAGCCAATCAATGCTTAAATTGCATAGTTTACCTTTGGAGCAGTCATGGAGAATGAAGGACATGAAGTGTGCAGTAAATACCAGAACTCACCCTAGAATTTCCAAAACAGTAGGTCCCAGCACATCCATTTCAGATCATGTTGCAGCGGAAATCCACAGCGAGCAGCAGCTCCTGGGGCACAGGGAGCATTATTAGCCTCTCTGGAACGAACCAGTCTCGCCATGCACTGATAGTGCTTTCCACACTGTGCATGCACAAATGCCCATGTGAGCTGCAAGGCAGAAGGCCTAAGTAGTCAAGGAAACAAACTCAAACAGAACTCAAACTGGGTATCTGTTGAGAATACACACTGTTCATGCGAAAGTGGAGATACGTCCACTCAGTCCACTCAGCTTGTCTTATGAGTTAAGTATCTGCAATAACATATGAATGACACAGCATAAAATGGGCACGTAATCAGTGATAGTTATCTTACTGTTCCTTTGCCTAGACAGGACTCTGGAACACAGCAGACGGCCATCATAAAAAATAGCTGTTGAAGAGACAAATGGTCGAACAAAATCATGAATAGTCAATTCTACTGAACTGTTCCTCTGACTGAACTTAAGTATCGTCTCCTTTAAGAAGCTACTTTCATTGCTAGCTGTATTTTCTCACTTAATGTAGGTCTTAGAGCCAGACTGCCTGCGTCTGAATCTTAGTTCTACTTTTGTGTTTTTGGACAACTCACACATTCTACTCAGTTTTCTCAGTTATAAAATGGTGCTCATCAGTAGGGTTTCTATTAAGATTATAAGGGCTAATACAGGAACATATTTATTAGACTGGCTGGGGCCAGCGCTGTGGCTCAGCAGGTTAATGCCCTGGCCTGAAGTGCCGGCATCCCATATGGATGCCAGTTCTAGTCCTGGCTGCTCCTCTTCTGATCCAGTTCTCTGCTATGGACTGGGATAGCAGAAGATGGCCCAAGTCCTTGGGCCCCTGACCTGCATGGGAGACCCGGAAGAAGCTCCTGGCTTCGAATTGGTGCTGTTCCGGCCATTGTGGCCAATTGGGGAGTGAACCATCGGATGGAAGACCTCTCTCACTCACTCTCTGCCTCTACGCTCTCTGTGTAACTCTTTCAAATAAATAAATAAATCTTAAAAAAAAAAAAAAAAGACTGGCTGACACACAGCAACCACTCAATAAATATCAGCAACTGTTAAAATGCTGCATATGACATTTTGCAAATTATTTGCTTGTGCAGCCATTGAACGGTAAATTCTACAACAGCAAGAGCTTATGTGTGTTTTGTTCACTGCCTAAAACTGTGCCCTGCAAAGTGGTAGCATTTTACTACCTAAAAACAAGAAAGTGACCCAATGACATACAAACCCAAAATTAAGACCAACCTTCCGCTGGTTGCGGCACCACACGGTGAGGATCTCTTCTCCATACGCGCAGTCCTGACATCCAAGGGTCTGCTGTGGTCAGTGCAGACCCTAGGACTCTAGAAAGCAGCCAGCCATGGTGCACTGCCAACAATGGCCTTGTCAAGGTCAACAGCAGGCCCTGGAGATGACTAAGCCACACATGATGCTTATGGGCAAGGAGTGGTTTGCTGGAGTAGACAGCCGTGTCTGTGTGAAGAGTGGTGACTGTGTGGCTCCTATTTTAGATACCCATCAGTCCATATCCACAGCCCTAGTGGCTAGCTAGTACCAGAAACATGTGGATGAGGCTTCCAAAAAGGAGGTCAAAGACATCCATGCCCAGTGTGACCAGACCCGTGCCAGTAGCTGACCCAAGTCCCTGGAAATCCAAAGTTTGGAGTCCCTAGTGCCTCTGCTCCCTACCAGAAATCCTACCGCTAAGATTATCACTAGGACTGGGATTCATCTTTAAAATAAACAATAGTTGTGCGATTTTAAGGCTTGCTCTGCCCAACCCCCAAGAAAACCCAAACAAAATTAAGATAAGCGCCTTACACACGGGTTCAGGTGGAAAATTTCTGAAAAAACAGTAATAAATCAAGGAGGCAAAACAAAAACAACTCTTTCAGTATATTTCTATAAAGTTTTTATTTAAAAAATAAAATTATAAACAAAATACAGAAAAATATTGACACCTGTGATAACAAGAAAATGACTCTTAATATTCAGGGCAATTTGTTGTCCTGGGGGAGAAAAATCATGGGTTTTATAAAGAAATTTTATTGTGCAAAGGAGGAATGTAATATTTAAAGTTCATTTACAACAGGCATTTGGCATTGACAGAGAAAGTATTTCTAGGTGTACATTCAACACTTGCAGCATATTTACATTCAAGTCATGTTTCCAAATCCTATGCCAAATACAATCTAACCACTGAAAAACCCTAAGGTCTTAGTAAAATTCTGTTCAATTAGGGGGAATTTAATACAATTTTATTAGAAAATAATTTTATGGTCCTACTGCATTTTTACTACTTCAAGAAAATGCACTGATATTTTCTTCCCAGTTTAAGCCTAGCCTCTTCTAGACAGATTAAATATCAACTCAAGTGTCACCAGTACGAAATTCTATTTCTCCCTCTTTCTTTACGGAGATTATTATAACTTTCAACGAAAGGACACCAACTCCGATAAATTACTGAGTGTCTTAGGGATGTAAGTTATAGAATTTTAGCTTCTGTTTAAAAAATGATTTAAGCACTTTCCTTTTTCAGTTGTTAGCAAATTCCTCATCAAAATAAAACACACGGGAAACTCACATGGTGGTTTTCCGAAAACTTTTCCCTGCTGTTCCCACACATTTCTGAACAGACCATTTATTCCTCAGCAACTTTTGAGTTTCTTAGTTTTTCCAAAATACACTAGGATCACTCTTTTTTCCTGATAATCTTTCCATTTTAGCTTTTAAATTACGGTTTTATTAAAATCAGAATAAAGTACCCATGACTCACAACATCTTTGCTACGTTCTCTTAGAACTCTACCTGAACTTAAGGAAAGGTCAGGATTCATGGGCCTGTCTGAACTGGGCAAAAAGGAAAAGTCAGGATTAGGAAACTCTCATGCCTCCCAGAGATTCCAGACAAGTCACATCTATTCAATAAGTATCCCCTCTTTCTTATTTACCTCAAATTAAATTCAATTTTTAAAAAATTCTATAAAGCTAACGAACGACAAAGCAATGGAGACAGATGGATTTCATTCAGCTGAGCTCACTCTTTCTGATTCTCTTCAGGTTGTGACTTCTCCTCCAGTACATGACGGCTGGCAGCTGGCAGTGGGTTGCTGAGATGGTACCACTTCTAAGTCAGATTCACGAACAAAAACCACTGCATCACCACTTACATTTATGAGACACTGTGCCTGTAGAACAACCAACAAGACAACAAGACGGTTCAGTTATACTCCACGCTGTGTTCCTAGCTCTGTGACACAAGGGACAGTGCTGTACAGCTGAGAAAACACAGGCCTACAAATCATTAGGAAAAGAAAGACAACCAAATAAAAAAAGAAAACAGGATGCACTTATGGGAAAGAAAACTCAAAAAGCCCCAAAAGGTCATACAAAAAAATATTAAAGGGCACTAATAATCAGAGATATATACATTAAAATGACATTAAGAGACAGACCACATTTTATATATATTGGCAAAAAAAAAAAAAAAAAGCAAAGCTGTTGTAAAGCATTGACAAAGACACAGGACAAGAGAAACAGCTTAACTGCTGGGCAAAGTACAACCACACTGGAAAGCAATTTGGCAATATCACATGAAGCAAAGAAAGTACACATTCTATGATCCATATACATAGGAATTTATCTATGAAGGGACTTCAAAAGATTCACAGGAAAACAGAATTAAAAGATAAAAAGATTTTTATTTCTCAACATCAGTGCCATCAAGGTCAAGAGAGTTTTGTAAACATGACACCAGCTATTTTGTCCATCCCCAAAGAGCTGAGTATCCCGGGAATTTAACCCTATCAATGCAGTCTTTTTTATATTCTAAGCTGGAGAAAATTGAGCATCATTTATTTTTTAAGGTTAGGAAACAAAATGTCAGAAGGAGCCAAATCAGATCTATAAGGTTTGGTACCCATAAGCAGAAAGCTTGTTCTATTTTAATTTTTCAATCAAAACTGTGTAAGCTGAACTGAGAGGCCTATGATCATGAAAATTCCAAAGTATGGATTAACTAGAATTTCTTAATTAGTTAACCACTGATGAACATTTAGATTGCTTCCAATGAGTGTCATGCTAATACAAACAGTACTATAAGAACAATACAAAACAGGCATTTAGCATAAATTTGTGTATCAATAGGAAAAACTCCTTATAATAGAATTGTTAGGTCAAATCATATATCTTAGTAAATTTTGCCCAAGTTCCCTTACATTGAAATTATCTTGCAAATTATTTATATAATTAATATATAAATGGTTTCATAATGTTCGTGTCCTTTTACAAATTGCTTTCATTAATTCATGACATTTTTGAGATTCGTCCATGCTGACAGAACTTTAGGTCACACATTTTCACTTCCGTATAGTATTTCAGACATGAATATTCCACAATCTATTTCCACTTCTCTCTTCATGGGCATTTAGGTTGTTTCAATATTTTTCTATTATAAACAAGTTGCAGTGAAAAGTCATGGGTTAATACTTCTTTAATATGTCTCTCAGATTTCTCTAAGGGACACGTACACACATACAAATGAAGGGTATTCAAAAGGTCCATGGAAAATGTGTATTATAAAAAACTACTCACAGATTTCAAAAATTTTTTGCACCAACTGTTGAAATCTTTACTTAATGTATACTAAACTGATCTTCTATATATATATAGAAAATTGAAAATGAATCTTGATATGAATGGAAGGGGAGAGAGAGCGGGAAAGGGGAGGGTTGCGGGTGGGGGGGAGGAGCCAATGTAGTTCATAAGCTGTACTTTGGAAATCTATATTCATTAAATAAAAGTTAAAAAAAATTTTTTTTGCACCAAAATAAGCTTATATTTTGATTCTACTTTTCCATGAGCTTTTTGGAGTCGCCTCCTACAGCTCACCACCTGAAGTGATGCATGCACATAAGTAGTGATACATAAGTGACAATTATTATGTGGCCATGGAGGGAGAGGGCCAATAGAAATCTGAACCCAAGAAATGGGGGTCCTGGTCTAGCTTTCCTATTTATAGCCTTGTAATGTACACGAAAACTCTGTGAGCCTGTTTTCTCACTTACAAAGGCAGCGTTACATATCAACACATTATAAAGTGCTAGAAAAGAGAAAAAACACAGGTCATTCGGAAAACTAACCAATTTAATGCACTTGCACTATAAAGTATGTATACTGGGAGAGGAAGGAGTGAGGGATGAGCCTGAAGGAGGACGAAAAGGCCAAGTTGTAAAGAATTAATATGACATATTAAGAAGCTTAAATTTTATCCTGTAAGAATCCATTAAGGACTTTTAGACATGTTAAAGGTAACAGTACCAACTTTTAGAGCACTTACTGTCAGTCAGGCATAAGCACATCACATTTATGAACTCATGCCCAATTGCTCTGCCCAGGCTATAGATGAGCAAACTGAGGCAGAGAGGTAGGTTGATTTCAAGGCACTTGTCAAAATGCTAATTAACTTTATAAACAGAAACTATATAAACCTAATACCATGGAAACCCTAAAATACAAATCTTAAAAAAAATATTTTATTTATTTATTTGAGAGGTAGAGTTACAGACAGTGAGAAGGAAAGAGAGAGAGAAAAGTCTTCCATCTGCTGGTTCACTCCCCAAATGGCCACAACAGAAAGAGCTAAGCCTATCTGAAGCAGTTTCTTCTGGGTCTCCCAAGCAAGGGCCATCTTCCGCTGCTTTCCCAGGCCACAGCAGAGAGCTGGATCAAACCTGGAGCAGCCAGGACTGTGGAACCAATATAGGACATCAGCGCCATAAGCGGAGGATTAGCCTACTGCGTCACAGCGCTGGCCCCCTAAAATACAAATCTTAATCTCAAACACAAAATAATTAAGCAAAAAGGAACTGTTTAATAAGACTACAAAAATTCTATTATGCAAAATAAAGTTAGTACAAATAAGAACAAGATGATTCCAAGATGATTTCTTTGTGACCAGATTATATCAAATTGTTTACAGCAGGCTGGCGCCACAGCTCAACAGGCTAATCCTCTGCCTGCAGTGCCGGCACACCGGGTTCTAGTCTCGGTCGGGGCGCCGGTATCTGTCCCGGTTGCCCCTCTTCCAGGCCAGCTCTCTGCTGTGGCCCGGGAGTGCAGTGGAGGATGGCCCAAGTGCTTGGGCCCTACACCCCATGGGAAACCAGGAGAAGCACTGGCTCCTGGCTTCCGATCAGTGCAGTGCACCAGCCTCAGCGTGCCGGCCGCAGTGGCCACTGGAGGGTGAACCAACGGCAAAAGGAAGACCTTTCTCTCTGTCTCTCTCTCACACTGTCCACTCTGCCTGTCCAAAAAAAAAAAAAAAAAAAAATTGTTTACAGCAAATTATGGTGATGGGGATGTGCTTTCTCTGGATTCCATCTACATCCACACCTGTATCCAGGCACTACTTAGACTCTCCATTTTCCTGCTTCCTCTTTGACTATTTCTTTCTGGCTCTTTCTTCTCCTCCAAGTACCCTTTATGCTAATTCTACACAGTTTTCTTGGCTGCATACGTATCAATAAGCTGGTCCTAACTCTACAACTCAAGCCTAGAAATCTCTCGGAACTTTACATATGCCCCAGTTGCCTACCTGCAATCCTCCCAGATGTTTCCCTAACTTGCCCTCGCCATCACCAGTTTATCAGAGGGCTGTCTTCTAGTTTCGTGAACTCATTATTTTTCTTCAATATCTAATAATGAAGTACAATAGGCCCCGAATAACAAAAATGTCCAACCTATCAAGGAAAACTGAAAGGAGTTTATAAATGAAGTACTGTTATGATAAAAAGATTAAACCTATTGATTATAGGGACCAGCTGGTTCAGGTCCTGGCTGTTCTGCTGCTAACCCAGGTTCCTGCCAATGCACATGGGAAGGCAGTGGATGATGTCCCAAGTACTGGGGTCCCTGCCACCCATGTGGGAGACCCAGATAGAGTTCCTGCAGACATTTGGGGAGTGAATTAGTGGAAAGAAGGTAACTCTGTCTCTCCCTCTGCCACTGTCTTTCAAATAAATAAATAAATAATCTTTTAAAAAATGATTGATAATAAAATAAAGCTAAACCATTTTGAATTTCTATAATAATGAACTTTTTATGACAGCACCTGTCACTGTAAGATAATCTTATCAATGAAAAATCAAGGTACTAAGAATTCAAAAGATTTGCCTTTGTTTAGAATTATCTAGACTCTCTTTATATAAATAAAAAATTAAAAATTTAAGGGCTAGTGCTGTGGCTTAGAAGGTTAAGCATCCGCCTGCAGCGCCGGCATCCCACATGGGTGTCACTTCCAATCCAGCTCCCTGCTGATGGCCTGGGAAAGCAGTGTAAGATGGCCCAAGTGCTTGGACCCCTGCACCCACAATGAAGACTTCGAGGAAGCTCCTGGTTCCTGGCTTCAGATCGGCCCAGCTCCAGCCATTTCGACCATCTGGGGAGTGAACCAGTAGATCAAAGACCTCTCTCTGTCTCTCTTTCTCTCTGTCTGTAACTCTGCCTCTCAAGTAAATAAATAAAATCTTTAAAAAAGTTAAAAATTTAAAATATTAAAAGTTATACAATTATCTAGAAATAAAACTGGGAACAAATATATACACATATATGAAGGTAGTTAAAAAATTCATGGAGAAATGGAATTAAAAAATAAAATTTATTCTGGTGCAAAAAATTCCTTGAAATCCATACATAATTTTCTATAATGTACCTTTTCATGAACTTTCTGGAGATCCCCTCATAAATACATATACATCCAAGTATTCATTGTTATTCCTGCACAAATAGTAGTAATGATGCTGTACTATGGCTTCCTGAGCTTTCTGTCTGTCAAGAATACTGATCCCCTCTCCTCTTAGGGCAGTCCCCTGGACCAGAAACCCAGGGCCAGTTACTACCAGTCACAAACACCTTTATCTATTTACCACAGTGGGCTACAGAAACAGTATGATTTTGCTGTGCAGCAAGAAGAACAGGCTGGAAAGCACAGATGTTCTGCTAGCAGATCTATAGTTCTTTAAAATCTTTAAAAAAAAATTATAAATGCTATGATCTTAAAATGGACAAATTTATTCCACAATTTAAGCTAACAGGGTGCCTTTTATCCCCCATTAACAGAATTAAACTGCTTAGTATTAACTGGCTGCAGCACGGCTGCTAGAATCGACCGTGTTGTTAACTTTTCAGCTCTTCATGTTTAGCTTTTACGTATACCAAACACCCACTGAGAAAATGGTGCAAACAATGGCTCGGGAGCAGAAATCCCAAAAGTGAATAAGGACAGTAACTAGGGGCAGGCATTTGGACCAGCAATCAAGACAGCATGTAAGAGGCCCATATCCCACCCTGGAGCACCTGGATTTGATTCGCAGCTCCAGCTCCTGATTCCAGCTACCTGCTTGCAGACCCCCACGCCATGCACAAGGAAGAGCCTGGGTTGAGTTCTCGGATCCCAGTGTCAGCCATGGTCCTTGCGGGCATTTGGAGAGTGTACTAGCAGGTGGAAGCATTCTCTCCTCCCACCCCCAGCTTTGTCTCAAATAAATAAATAAATAAATTTAAAAATAAAGAACACTAAAACAAGTCACTGGAAATGTGAAAACAACATCTGCGCTATATACGACCATGGGTATTCATAAATTCATTAAAATACATTTCAAGCATCTAGAATCAAAGATCTCTGAAAGGTAATTCCCTTTCGCAGAGGCAGGGGTGGTAGACGGTCATGGGTGCAATTCTCAGGTTCCTGCGATCAGATGTTCCACTGTATCTCACCTGGTTTTTATTTGGATTCTCCATGAAAACACACTGCTTCATTATGTAGGACACAACAGCATTGCCTCCTAAGGCTGCGACGTGAGCTCTCACCATCGCAAACACCTCCGCAATAAAAGCATGGAGAAATCCACTGACTCCTCCTTCCTAGGTAACAATGCAAAAGGAACTCATATTATATGTGGGTATAGAGGAATGTATACAAAATAGCAAAGCATATACATATATATTAATATATTAAAACAACACAAGGAGTTTTAATATAATGAATAAAATAATTTAACTTCCCTGCAAAGTGGAGATTTAACTCATGAATGAACAAACAAACCTTACTCAACAGTACAGGGATTTACTAACTTAACAAAAGATAAAATCAAAGTTGAGATAATTTGTCATGTGCCCATCACTAGAGCCAATCACACAGCTAGTGGGTAAATGGCAGAGCAAGCACTCAAACTATGCCTCTATGTTCAACATCTCCTTCTGTCAAACTCAGTTTAAGAAGCTGTAAAAGAGGCAACTGTGACTGGAACATGGCTCAGACTGGGAGACAGGAGGAGCAGTTGTTTATGTCTCCATCAATGTACTGAAATGACGATGAGCATGATTTGACAGAAGGAGATGCAATTCTAATAGCAGAGTAGCTATACAAGGTTAATTTTTAAAAGATTAACTGTGAAGACAACTCATCAGGTAAGGAACACTTTTGGGATATCATGTCACACAGTTAATATTAAAAATCTATGTTGAAGGGCTAGTGCTGGCATATAGTGGGTTAAGCTGAGGCCTGTGAGGCAGGCATCCCATAGGGGCATGTCGCTCCCCCTCTTCGTGGAGGAATGACACAGGACCCTGCGCTGTTCTTTCGTCTGCTCGGCCCTCCCCGGGTTTGCTGCTGGTTCTTCCTGGGTTGGCTACCGTCCCTTCCACCTCCGTGGAAGGGCGGTTCCCCCTGGCCACTTTCCCCACTTCCGCAGGAGAGTGGCACACCGCCGGCCGGCTCTCTCGGGGGCTGCACAGGTGTTCCCCTTAGATATTCCTGGTGCATGTTGTCTCTCTCCTCCTTTATAGTCCTCCTCCGCCAATCCCAACTTGGCTGCCCACACGCCGAGTACGCTGCTCTCCTCCAATCAGGAGCAGGATCAGCTCCTGAAGGTCATCACTCAAGTTGGCAAGAGGCAGCTGCGTAGAAGCTGTTTTCTCCTCTCCCAGCGTCATATTGTGGGAGAGCAGATGCACAGAATAAGTCTTAATTCCAGTAACTCAGTCCAGTCCGGGTTGCTCCCCACAGATCCCCCTTTCCATTTTTTGGCGTTGATACGCGCCTGTCTTCGGTGCCCCGCGGCACACACTCTGCTCTGCTTGCTAGAGTTGCCCACAGGTGCTTACAAGCCCTACCAATCAGGCAAACCGAATCCAAGCCCTCTCATTGCCGTCTAGTGGGGAGACTTATTGATGTTAATTCGTGCCTGTCTTCGGTGACCTGCGGCGCATAAGCTGCTAGCCGCCCGCAGGTGCTCACCACCTCCCTAATCAGGCAGACCGAATCCAAGCTCCCTCATTGCCGTGCGTGTTGTGGGGAGGCCTTATTTTTCTCTATTTCTCTATCTCCGGGCATTCCTATTTCTCCTATTTTACTTCTATCTGCCAGCATTCCTATTTCTCTCATTTTACTTCTAAACTTCTGTTTCTCTTATCCCTGCGGCTTCCCGGCGCCTGCCCCGAGGCTGCTTCTCGGCGGCTTCCCGGCTCTGAGCCGCTTCAGCCAGCGCTTCTCTCATCTGCGCGGCTTCCCGGCTCAGCGTAGCTTACATTTCCGCCACCACCGGTATTCAATCTAAGTTCCCCGGGCTAACCTGGCGAATTCAACCTAGCTTACGCGTCTCCGCCTTATGGTTTGGCTTCCTGTCTTTTGCTCCCCGGGCTAATCTGACGGATTCCAACCTGGCTTACGCGTCTAGCTTCTCGCCTTTTGCTCCCCGGGCTGACTTGAAGAATCCCAAGCTGGCTTACGTTTCTGCCTCTGCCTGCCCCCACAGCTTCAATTTCCCTAACATTTTTCTCTACCCGGTATGTTTCCCTAAGTTTTCTTCCAACAATATTCCTCCCTCATTTCTCCTGGCTTCTCCCCACAGTCCGTATCCGAGTCTGTTTGTTCTAGCTTTCACTTTTGCTTTAGACCTTAGAGATTTCTCCCAGCTTCCCCCCGTAGTCCGTATCCGAGTCTATGCCTAGGCTTTCAGTAGCTCCTTCTGGCACCTTTTTCGTCCGGCTTTCCCTAGGCTCTTTGCTAGTCTCTCTCTCCGGTATTTTCCCACTTCTTCCCGTTTCTTCCCTCCTAGGTTTCCTATCCCTCCTAGGTTTCCGATCCGAGTCACGGCACCATTATGTCGCTCCCCGTCTTCGTGGAGGAACGACACAGGACCCTGCGTTGTTCTTTCGTCTGCTCGGCCCTCCCCGGGTTTGCTGCTGGTTCTTCCTGGGTTGGCTACCGTCCCTTCCACCTCCGTGGAAGGGCGGTTCCCCCTGGCCACTTTCCCCACTTCCGCAGGAGAGTGGCACACCGCCGGCCGGCTCTCTCGGAGGCTGCACAGGTGTTCCCCTTAGATGTTCCTGGTGTATGCTGTCTCTCTCCTCCTTTATAGTCCTCCTCCGCCAATCCCAACTTGGCTGCCCACACGCCGAGTACGCTGCTCTCCTCCAATCAGGAGTAGGATCAGCTCCTGGAGGTCATCACTCAAGTTGGCAAGAGGCAGCTGCGTAGAAGCTGTTTTCTCCTCTCCCAGCGTCATATTGTGGGAGAGCAGATGCATAGAATAAGTCTTAATTCCAGTAACTCAGTCCAGTCCCGGTTGCTCCCCACAGGGGCACTGGTTCAGGCCCTAGCTGCTCCACTTCTGGTCCAGCTCCCGGCTAATGGCCTGGGAATGTGGCTAAAGATGGCACACATACTTGGGCCCCTGCACCTACATGGGAGACCCAGATGAAGTTCCTGACTCCCAGCTTCGGCCTGACCCAGCCTTGACCACTGAGGCCATTTGAAGAGTTAGCAGGTGGAGGATTTCTTGGACTGCCCATCTCTCTCTATAGCTATGCCTTTCAAATACATAAAAATTTTTTTGAAAAGCCTATGTTTAAGGGAAATCTGTGAAAGAACATGTTATGATATGGGAGATTAAGAAGCAGAAATCAAATACAACTTCTGAATTCAAACAGCACAATGCCCATGTACTGTTAAGAACAACTAGAAAGGGCTAAGTCACAATCTATATCAGCTTCTAGCACCAAACCTTCTTTGTCAAATTTAAATGGACATAGAAGTGTTATCTACTTTAATTCTTCACTAAATGATTTTTTAAGAATATGTTAAGATATTCTTCCACTCAACATAATTACAATATGATTAGCAAACCTATTTATCTTAAAAGAAACATCCATTTAATTTATTAGATAACCTCAGAAGCCTCTGCTCATTTATATCCAACTGCCCCATGTTTCTTGTGTGCCAGGCAGTGTGCTGGGTGTAGGGTAGGAGTGTGATATACACAGAGAATGAAGGCTTTTACCAGAGAGGCAGGAACACTTCTGGTGAGATGGCAGGGAAAAGTGCAACCAAGAAACTTTGACACACTTTTTAAAAATACACATGGCTGCTAACTTGAAACATGGGTTTTGTGCCTCCATAATTTAGAAATTTCCCTATTCACAATATTAATTTGCTCAGCAGCCCTGTTCTATAAACTAAAGCCAGTATAATTTCCATTTTTCTGGAGTCTAAATTCATGTTACAAAAGAATAAAGGTAGACTAGTTCTAGACTTAACCCACATCAAGTAAAATTTCAAGCTACTCTTCTTTAAAAAACAAATGAAAATTTAATGACATTCATTGTAAAGTAATAATTTGAAGAAATGGATTCTCACATACTGCTGGAAAGTCTGAAAATGAGTAGTCTCATTCTTAGAGCAAAGAAACAATAGGTTTAAATGATATAAAGTATCTATACAGATGTGTATCTGACATAGAGTTCTCTAATATTTCTATATGTGATCCCTTAAAAACTGCTACTGAAATATATCTCAGGCAAATAACTACTGTGAAAATTAAGCTGCTCCTTTACAGCTATTTTAAACTTCTAATCAAATAGATAAATGTATTTATTTACTATGTAGTAAAAATCTAAAATTTCTAATAATTAATGAATTTAAACTTAATGTGACTTGTGATAATACCAGCTGTGAAATGAAGCTTGGCAATTCTAGTGTAGAATCAATTGGGACAGGTTACTGAAATATAAGTAAATTAAGTAAAATGTAAACATATATGCTATTCTGGCAAGAAAAAAACACAACAATTTTAAACTAAACTTTTAATCAGAGAAAAATGAAAAAAAATTTTTTCTATAAAATTACCTCACGAAGAGAAGTGGTTTCCCGAATAAAAAACATGTTAATTATCCCAAGATACTTAGTTATTTTTGCTCCAGGAATGAAAGAAAGCGGTGTCATCTTAACAACCCCAACTGTGGAGTTTGCACAAGGTGGGGCAGAACGATTCCGGAAATTTCCTTCTCCCACTGGACTTGCTTTTTCAACCGTCACAGCTAAAATTGGAGAAAGAAAACATTAAGATACTGGTAACATGATTATTCCCCAAAGTTTCCAAGTAAGTGGTGACAACATTCAGCTGTCTGTGAGGCTAAGCCATGTCATGAAAGAAAAGAAATTATCATGCACTACATGCAATTAAAAAAGAAAAAGAAAGGAAAATACAAGAGGAAATGCTGGAATGGAATTCTTTTGGAAGAAAATGGCATTCCTGCAAAAGAAAATGTTGATGCAGTAAAGCTATACACACAATGAAAGGTTATAAAGTGAAGAAAAAGCAGAAGAGCATTAAAATTATCTGCTGTAGAAACAAATTATTACAAGGAGAGTGTGAAAGTTGTTATTTCCCAGTACAGCTGTTTTTTTTTTTCCATCTTTTTCAGGTGACTTCATCATTGTCAACTTGTAGATAAACCTTGTTAACTAGGTGTAATGTATCTCTTTTTCAAACCTTTTTGACTAAACCAAATCAGAACTTAAAGAATTTAACAAATGACTGGCTGTCCAAAAGTTACAGGTAAAGTTACAGGTAATAATACTAGCACTATTAACTCTTATAAGCTAGACATATGTATAACTAATCCTTAGCACATCCCCATTTCACATATGAGGACACTGAGGCTGAGATATTAAACAGTTTGCCCAAGGTCATACAGCTATTAAAATGGTTTCTAAGATTCAAACCAGATCTGGCTGGTTCCATGCTCTGTGTTCTTTCCTGAAAGTGTGCAGTTCCCTCTTTTTAATGTATGTAAACTCTTGCACTCAAATAGAGCTAACTCAAAATCTACCAAAACACCCAGGGTCTAGAAAAAGAACACACAGGTAATGATCCTGATTCTAACAGTAAGAGTTACCTACTTTTTCTCCAGAAATACTTTTAGCCAACTCTGGGGATCACGCTCAGTAAACTGAGAGATGCCATAAAGTAAGTAGAACCTTGGGTCCTGGAAAAGTAGCTCTTCAGTAAGACATATATTTATATACTTCGGAAAAAGCAAAATTTTAAAAACACATCTCTATTGTTAAAAATAGCAAACCTAAAGACCCTTCAATAGTGTTTCCTAAGTGATCTTAGGAGTCGGCAGCTTTCACACTCCAAGACATGATTGATTGGCAATGTTATTACTGCGCAGTAAAGTCTAGCCTTCACCACTGGGAAATCAGGGACACGCTTCTCAGATCATCATAACGTGGTAGAAACATCCGCCTACTTGTCTTAATTGATCCGCGCCTTATGGTCTGAGCTTTCAGTTTAATGAGCTCTATCCAGCTGCTGCATCTGTCTGCAAAGGAACTGTAATCAACTGACGTTGCTGAAAACACAGACAGAAAACAAAAGAAAAAAACAAAGAAAAAATATGGATGACGTCTCTTATTCGTCATAACACTCCCTCTGATGATGGCAACTTAACTGTAACTTAGAAAAAGAATGGTCCTTTCCAAGTCAGACAAGAGAGAGAGGCAAGAGTCAAGCTTTAGACACTGATTTGTCCAAAACCAAGTTCTCAGTTAACTGGCTGAGCCTTTTTGGTAATGTCACATTTGTGTGGTCTCTTGGGGACAGAGTCAGTGGGCTTTAACATAAATATCACGAAAAGACCACATATTTTATTTTAACTTTATTTCCCATTCTTTTAATTAATAATACTAGAGTTGTTTCTAATTTAGCACTTGAATTTATAATCCAACCTTACAGAATAATTCCCTCCCCTACTTGACCCTACTATCAAAACTAAAAACAGGAATCAAATGTTGAAGAATACATGAAAAAAAAAAAAAAACACTACTTGACTTATCTTTCATTAAAATATCTTCTTTCCATCATCATTAACAGGAAGCCAAAGGGTCATTTTTGTCACTATTCTATTTCTGTGCCTGATTTTTGGCAATCAAACATTTGGTAAAATGGGGTGGAAGGGGCAGGTGTGAACCTGGTAAGTTCCCCTATTAAAAAGAGTAACTTATAACTTATACTACTAGAAAGCAAAAAAGAAAAAAAAAAAGTGTTACAAAACTAAACTTTTTAGAAACTGGGCAACTAAATTACAATGTTAAAAAAATTATTTTAAAAACATATCCTAACTATACTAAAGCCACATTGTGCTATCTAGTCCATTTCCAGTTGGTTTCTTCCATACGTAATTTTATGCAACACCGAACTAGAATTTCACACCTTTGGTGACTATTTGCTTAATTCAACAAACTCACCTCTCTGTGCAGCTGGTATACCTGAGTTAGAACTTGCACTCTCCAGGTGTTCTAATAAGGCAATATGAACAACATTAGCTTGAATGCTAAGTACAAGCCAGCATCTCTTCTTTGTTGTCTGTTAATACCTTCTACAAGCCAGAAGAATAGGAGAAAATCTTTATGGCTTCCTTATAAAAGCAAACCAAACAGAAGTATTTAGGTTTAAAACATGCTTTCTATTGACACATGAAAACTAGCTCACTTAATACCATGCTAAGGAAGACTAATTATTGTAACACAGAAAGCCTTTCAGAAATCTTATTGTCACAGAAAATATAAGCACAGTAACAAGTGTTAGTACAGTGAAAGGATGTACGAAGACTGGGCACAGAAAAGGGTGAAATGAGTTGGAAAGAATATCTAAGATGAAACATGGAAGGAGGGCGGTCGGTAAGATTAGAAATGAGACAGGGTGATGACCTATGCTCCAGAGACCAAAGGATGCTTCCCAGACCTCCTGCAAGGACTTCACTATCAACTGCTCCCTCTGCTGGTCACTACAGAGACTGATCCCCAAAGAAACAGCTAACCTCAGGAAATTTCCCCTGATATTTTATGTATATTACAGATGTTTAAGGTATTATACAATTAAATTATACAAATTTAAACAGCACTAACGTCCAATCTATTATCAATGTTTATGCTCTAGCCACACAAGCATTTGTGAATTTTTTTTTAAGATTTATTTATTTGAAAGAGATAGAGAAAAAGCAAGAGACAGAAAAACAGAACTCTTCCACCCACTGGTTCACTCCTCACGTGGCCACAACAGCCAGTACTGGGTCAGCCAAAGCCAGGATCCACAAGCTTCATCTGGGTCTCTCATATGGAAGGCAGTGAACCAAACACTTGAGCCATCTTTTGATGTTTTTCCTAAGCCATTAACAGGGAGCTGAATCCAAAGTGGAGCAGTTGGGAAATCAATCACATGATCAGGTGCCTGTATTAGATGCTGGCATCACAGGCCAGCATCACCACAATGCCAGCCCCAGCATGTATGAATTTTTGTTTCAAACAATTTTGCAACTTGAAGTATAGCATTGCCAAGAAAAACACTTTGAATAATTTGGGTTTTCATTTTTTCCCTTATAAACTAAATAAGTATATTTTTTCAGCTCTAACATTTAATGAGTTGACACTCTGATAACGGTCAAATAAGATGACTTTCATTATTACCTGAATCTGCCGGCCATGTGGAGAGGGAAACTGACCTAGCTTAAAAGCAATTAAGGGGAAACAAGCATATTGATAACAAGAAGAAAGAATGTGGCAAGGATTCTTCCTCCCTCAGTTACACATTTGCCAATGCTTCTACAGTGTGAGATTTCTCTAAGTGATCTGTCATAACCCATGACCAATGTGTCGCTTAGTTTGAATGTTTATTCCCTCCAAAATTTAACTTCGATTATAGTAAGTCCAAACTTTTAAAAAAGATTTACTTATTTTAATTGAAAGGCAGGCAGACACACACGTGCACGCGTGCGCGCGCGTGCACACACACACACACACACACACACAGAAGGGAGAGGGAGAGTTATCTTCCATACAGGTTCACTCCCCTCAATGCCCACAACAGTTCAAGGCTAGGCCAAAGCCAGGAGCCAGAAACTTCACCTGTGGCCAGTTGGGGAGTGAATCAGCAGATAGATGCAGGACTTTTCTCTCTCTCTCTGCCTCTCCTTCTCTCTCTGTGTAACTCTGACTTTCAAATAAATAAATAAATCTTTAAAAAAAGAGTCCTATCATCTTTTAAAACTATTAAAGGGGTCAGCGGTGTGGCAGAGGGTAAAGCTGCTACCTATAGAGCTGGCATCCCACATGGAAGCCAGTTTGCGTCCTGGCTGCTCCACTTCTGATCCAGTTCTCTACTAATACACCTGAGAAAGCAGCAGCAGATGGTCCAAGTGCTTGGGCCCCTGCACCCACGTGGGAGATCCAAAGAAGCTCCTGGCTAAGCCAGGCCCAGCCCTGGCTGGTGTGGCCAACTGGGGAGTGAACTCTGTTTCTCTATCTCTGTGTGTAACTCTACCTTTCAAATAAATAAATAAGATGAATCTTAAAAAAAATAGTTTATTAAATTTTACTATGCTAAAATGTTTCGCCTACTAGTTAAAGTGCCCACATTTCATACTGAAGTGCCTGGGTTCAAGCCCTGTCTTCACTCTCAACTCCAGCTTCCTGCTACAATACACATCCTAGGAAGTAGCAGTAATGGCTCAAGTAGCTGGGTCCCTGCCATACACACGGGAGACCTACACTGAGTTCTTGGCTCCCAGCTTCGTTCTGGTTCAGTCCGAGCTACTGCGGACATTCTGGGAGCAAACCAGCAGATGCAAGTTCTCTCTTTCCTGTCTTTCTCTAAGTCTCTCAAATTAAAAAAAAAAGGGGGGGGGGATATGAAACTGAAAAAGTTCCTACAAATGCAGAAAAGATTCTGATTTTAAGATACATGCAATCTAGAATAAAATCTATGCTATACATTTCCCATTTAAATATCTTCAGTTTTAAGTTATTATGATTAAAATAGGAATTTATGGTCCTTTGAGTATTTCCATCATTCTATAATGCATTGATTAATGCCTTATCACTAAAAATCTGGTTTAACTAAATCAGGCAAATGGTATATCTAAACATTTAGCGTAAACCTCACCTACAATGTGGTATTCAAATATTGATAGACTGGTAGAGACTGTCATATTACAGTTACAATTTATTAAGGCACAGATAAAGATGCAAATAACTTCCACCTGGATAGTTTACACAGGAAAATTCAGCTGAAATACCTAAGAATGTGCATATACTAGATGACAAGGACAACTGATTTCTATTTTGGGCACTAACGTTTTCAACCACAGGTGCACAGTGTCCTAAACCACGTGTCTTTCCTTCTTCCTGCTCATCACTCATCCTTCACAGCTTCTCCTTCAGATAACCCACGCTCCCTGTCAGTTACCCAATTACTCCGCATTTCTCTCCTTTTCCTTCTGGCTCTGGACTTCACTGTCCTCAAGCTGACTTGAAGAGCAAGAGGTAAAGATTCCTTATTCCAACTTCTCTATCGACTCTCCTTCTTCTCCTCCCATGTCTTGGAAGAATTTTCCCACATTCTTCTCTTCAGTTTCTATTTTCCTCATTTCTCCCCCTTCAGCATCTCCCTCCTTTTAGGACCTGCTATTGATTGTTTTGGCCACCAAGTAACACAAACTTCAGTGTTGCTTTTTTTTTTTTTTAATTGTGGTTATTGGTTATCATTTTCTCACAGTGCCAAAACAGTATTTTTTTTTTTTTTTTGACAGGCAGAGTGGACAGTGAGAGAGAGAGAGAGAGAGACAGAGAGAAAGGTCTTCCTTTGCCGTTGGTTCACCCTCCAATGGCCGCCGCGGCCGGCGCGCAGCAGCCGGCACACAGCGCTGATCCGATGGCAGGAGCCAGGTGCTTATCCTGGTCTCCCATGGGGTGCAGGGCCTAAGGACTTGGGCCATCCTCCACTGCACTCCCTGGCCACAACAGAATAAAGAATTCCATATAGTTGTAAGAATTCAGAATGTCATTAGTTTGCAAGAAAAATAAAAGCTGACTTTTGTAGGTTTTTAGTTGTACATTTCTAACTGCTAGTTCAAAATCATGCCAGACAAGTCACTAAATTGAACCAGTTAGATTATCTTTTAAAATCAAATCTGGTTTGGGGAGGGCCTTATGGCACAGTGGGTTAAGCCTCCACTTGGCACAACTACATCCCATATCATAATGGTGTTTGGAATCCTGGCTGTTCCACTTCCAACCCAACTTCCTACTTATGCATCCTGGCTGGCAGCAGGATGGCTCAAGCACTTGGGCCCTTGTTATCCACATGGGAGAATCAGACAGAGTTCTGAGCTCTTTCCTTTGCCCTAGCCCAGATGGCTGTTCCAAGAACTGAGGGAGTGAACCAGCAGTTAGAAGATCTCTCTACCTTTAAAGTACATGAAAATAAAAACTTTTTTTTAAAAAAGAACTGTACATAAAAGAAATCATTTCTGAGGCTGGCAGTGTGGCACAATGAGTTAAGCCATATCTTTGATGCCAGCATCCCATATAGCCACTGGTTCAACTCTTAACTGCTCCGCTTCTAACCTAGCTTCCTGCTAATGGCCTGGGAAAACAAAGGAAGATGGCCCAAGTGCTTGGGCCACTGCTTCTCACATGGGAGATATGGATGCAGTTCCAGGATCCTGGCTTCAGCCTGGCCCAGTCCTGATCACTGCAGTCCTTCGGGGACTGAACCAGCGGGCAGATGATATCTCTCTTTCTCTCTGTAATTCTGCCTTTCAAATAAATCTGGTTTAACGAAAATAACAGCCTGAAATAAAAATAAAGGAAAAAAAACTCTGATGGTGACACTTCCTTATGAAGTATAATGCCTGATGGACGTAAACCACCTTGTTTTCCTTCACATTGAAAGGCAGACTTTAACCTTTGCTTGCTACATTAGTTAGCAACTGGTACAATAAAAACTCCTCCCCCAGTACTGGTTTATGCCTGTGAATATGAGGAAATAACCCCTACTATAAAACTGAATCAAAGCAGGAAATAAGGTCAGTAAGTATCAAAAAACTTTCTTCTATACAGTTTTAGTCTGCATTATATAAAAACTAAAATTGGCCTGATTAAACCCTTTGAGAACTATTATCTTATCATAGATTAAATTTATAATATACCTGAAAAAGATTTAAAGTAGTATATGATTCACACACACTTGTCTAAGTTCTTAAGCTCTAAAATATGGTTTAGGTCTTCATAAATTTATCTGAAGTAATACATGAACTATTTACAAAAATTACGTGCATGAAATTTTTGAGACAACTGCAGCCCATGTGAAACTCTTAGTGTTTTTTAACTCCGAACACCTTTAGTCGGAGTCCCGGCTTTCCTATATTGGCTTTTGCTCCTTTTTTCGACTTAGGTCATTTTAAAGTCTCTTGGAAACCATTGTAGAGAACAAATGTAGATATTAGGTAAGAAAAAAAACATTATGAAAGTCATGTAAAAATTGTTAAAGCCATCTTTTTTTCCTCATAACAGCCTCAAATGAACACAGGTCATTTATGCTGATACTAAATCTCTATGTTCCTCATAGTACTCGTGGAGGAATTCTGATGACCTTCACCTGACAATATCCTTTAGGACATTATCTAAGCTCAGCACCCTTGAGTATTTCAAATCAGAAAAATCAAGATAACTATCAAGGTAACACTAAATCAATCATGAATTTAAGACATATTTTGAATGATTTTGTTACCTTGAAAAATAAAACCAAATACAATAAATGAAGGAAGGTAAAAAGTCGAACGAGGATGGACAATTCAGGCCCAGGCTTACTCTATGCAATGGATAAAGATATATTTAATTGGAGCACCATTTCTTTACAAGACATTAACTCATTTTCAATAATATTAAAATATAATGAAAGGTTTATCTACAAGTGAAAAGATGGAAGTGTTAATAACATACTGTGTATAATTTTTTCAAACTACTCTCCCTGTCAACATAAAACTAACTGAAAAATTTTAATAAATCCCTCCACTGGTGATAAAAACATGAAATATAAAACAGAATTCAAAGTTACTGGAATTATAAAAAAGAAAAAACTCGTAGAAATTTAGCTGAACAAATTAGTAAAACTATAAAACCTATGCATTTATTGATCAGTATTTGCAGCCAACTCCTATGGCTGCACTTGAGAAAGCAGACAAATCTGAGCATTTATTCCTATTCCTCTTACCTTCTCTCTCTCACTTACTTCCTCTAAACTGCCACACTTCACTTTTTTCCAGACATTTCTAGTCTCTATTCAAAGCTTTCGGTCATTTTATTTCACCCAATTACTCCATTCATGTTGTAAGCCCTATAATTACATTTTTTAGACTTTTTAAAAAACAATCTTACCCTTAAATATTTCAAAATGCTTTGAAATAACTTTTAAAGATACAGCTAGCCCATGTCCTCCTGAAAAGACTCAAGGAAGCAAAGACAATAAATAAACATGCAACATAAACCACAATTTACAAATTAACCAACTATTCATAAGGAGGTATAGTTGCGCTTTTAGTGTTTAGTGATGATTTCAAAATGTAATATTTTAGGGAAAGCAGATACGTTCTGCAATTAAGCTCTTGGTACAAAAAGTTTTACATGTATTAGTAACAGATGTAATGATACTGAGAATTATGATAATGAAAATGAGGATGGTAAAGGTGGCATGATCTGACTCAGTGGTTTTCAACCTTTTTGAAATCCTTTCTTCAAATAAAACCTACAAGACCACTATGTAAAAGCCACTTGAATGAAAAGTGCTCTGTGTCAGAGGCAGGGGACTCGGATACTTGTCCTCACACTCCCTCCCCTCACACCCCACTCCCTCTCCCCTACCTCTGAAATGCTCCCACAACTTTGAGGAATGGAGTTTAGAATGTACTGGCTGTCTTAAATAATAATATTTAAACTAATGCACATATATATTTCTTAAATAATGACACATGTATAAAATATGCATATTATTGTATTCACATCTTTCCATATCGTGTATGGTTCTTAGTTATTCATGGATAATAGGACTGATCTGTATCATTTATGTGAGTGGTTGTGTTGAAAGCACCGAGACCAATTTGATTTTCATTAAGTCCAAAAATTCCTAATTAAGCATTTGCACAGAAAGATTGTGTGGGGGGATGTAGCAAAAGGGTGCTGTTTCGGGGCCATCATTGTGGCACGGAGGGTAAAACCAACTCAGTTCATATCCTAGCTGCTCCACTTCTGATACAGGTCCCTGCTAATGGCCTGGGAAAAGCAGTGGTAGATGGCCCTGCCAACCATGTGGAAAACCTAGATGAAACTCCTGGCTCCTGACTTCAGTCTGCCTAGTTGCGGCCATCTGGGGAGTGAACATGTGCATAGAAGACCTCTCTGTCTCTCTCTCTGTTTCACTGTAACTCCGGCTTTCAAAAAACAAAATAAATAAATATTTTAAAAAAAATAGAATGTACTGGCTGAACTGATTAGAATATGTATCTGAAAACAATTTAATTACAGAAGCTCAGTGTGAACTTGGCACTAGTTTAGCTTTTGATTTACTTTTTTAATAATATGAACATGTTAGTAACTGAAGGATCATTAATTATGAAAACGCCAAGGAATCATAGAAGATCTGAGGCTTAAAGAGTGTGACGCAGTTAGCACAAGTTCTCACACATTTGGAACAAAATTGAGAAGAGAACCCAGGTCTGGTGCTTTTTTAGTCCACATCATGCCCATTTCTGTGCTCCCTAAAAGTACATAATATTCTAGGTGCTGTTTAAATATTATTTATTCTACTCAAATCCGTTTTTGTTATTCAGCTCACAAAGTATTAGTACACACAAAATATATTAAGGACAACGTAAGTACCAGTTACAATTAATTGTGCAAACACAAGTGCTACTGCAGAAACTGTTATCAACATAAGTAAGGCAAACTTAACAGAGTTTAAATCTAATCTTCTGCACAATTTAGAAAGTATTAATAAATGACATGGCTTAATCTAAAAGAAATCCCTAGTCCTATGGATTAGCAATTTTTGTTGATTGGGTTTTTTTGTTTTATTTTCAGCCCTCTCTGCAGAGCAAGGATAAATAAAGGAATGCTTGCAAGTCATCTGGAGTGGCACTAACAAATCTAAGTTTCTGTATAAAGTAGGTGTTTATATAAAAAAAAAATCACTTGCTATCTAGTGAGTTCAAGGAAGAATCTTGACAGCTCTGTTTTCTGTTCTGGAAACTGTATTTAATTAATGAATCTGAACCCAGATTATATTATAAATATGATCTTTTCTCTCTCCTCTACCAAGGAGGTTGAGGTATATTGAAATTCTGGAGTTCTAAATTAGAATTTTAGATAATGACAAAAAGTAAAGAGCACCAGAGTCACAATGTTAAGAAAATCAGAATATGAAAGCAGTGTATCTTTTCATCTTCAAAATATGAGTCAAGATCTACTTATCTACCTAGTTAGGCCTTTCACTGACGTAACTAAGATTTGATTGGGATATATGCAAAATGAATAAGAAACCATTCTGTATTATATGCAATCTGCTATCAGATAATTTACAATAGAAATCACGATTCATTTCACCTATAAAATACAAAAATTAGAGTGGCTGATTTGATTTTAAATAAAAAACAATTTCTCAGAATAAAATATTTAGGAAAAATTAAACTACATATATTGGGGCCGGTGCCGTGGCTAATCCTCTGCCTGCAGCGCCAGCATCCCATATGGGCACCGGGTTCTAGTCCTGGCTGCTCCTCTTTTCAGTCCAGCTCTCCGCTGTGGCCTGGGGAGGGCAGTGGAGGATGGCCCAAGTGCTTGGGCACCTGCACTCACGTTGGAGACCAGGAGGAAGCACCTGGCTCCTGGCTTCGATTCAGCATAGCTCCAGCCATAGCGGCCATTTGGGGGGGTGAACCAACGGAAGGAAGACCTTTCTCCCTGTCTCTCTCTCTATCTGTCAAATAAAAAATTAAAAAAAAAAAACAAAACTACATTTATCAAGCATGTTCTTTTAAAGTTATAAAATAATGTGCAATAATTTTGTAACTTCTCATAGAAAGAAATTACACTGAAGTCAGAAGGGAAATGGAAAAAAACTATCACTTATCTATAAAAATTATAGAGATCAAAATAGGTATTTTGAGATATATTTAGATAATAAGTATATTTTGATAATACATTTTCTGATATTAAAGGACCAATAATTTTGCATGTGAAAATATGATAGTGTCTTTCAAATATGTGACAATATTCTTCAATGACAGCACAAAAGGTATCTCATCCCTTTCTCACTTACACTCTCCCTACCTAAAATCTCTCCACGTTTTCTGAAGGAAACAAGCATTCTGTTGTCTATGAAATTTCACAAGTTTCTGTAAAGGTTTGGATGTTGTAGAGAAAAATTTTATCAAATATAATATAAATACCGAACATATGAATACTACGTGTGAATAGTTATGTTGGGAAATTCAAATCTTTGAAAATAAAACTTCAGTACATTTGAAGTATGAGAATGGAATATCCTCATATCTTAGTAACTTACGATGACATTAACTGAGAAATTAAGAGGGGCATTACTATCTCCCCTTTATGAATGTGGAGAAAGATACACTGGGGAATGAAGGATAAATCTTCACCTCAAGACTAAGTGAGACTGCCTACAAATGAGAAGGCAGAGGGTGGAGTCTAGGATTTGAGTCTGTATCTGCTTTACTTAACCAACCTTTAGATGGTGGAAAAGGATGAGGAGGAAGTGAATCTGAACAGAGTTCCAGTGGAAACTGCAGAAGTTCTTCATTATCTGTGGAGGCTTGAGAGGCAAGAAAAACACTGGTTAGTCACTGATGACTTAGTATTAATTTTTCAAAAATTAAGAATCTGTGACAACATATTTACTATATACATGAATATGCATCTTGTTTTCACAACCCTTGACCTAATTTATTCTGGTTAATTTCTCCTTAGCTTCTCCCAAGGAGACACTACCTGAATGATGTTAAGAGTGGTGCTACCTTCTCTGCTAGGAACTACTTTGAGATTTTAAAAGACTGATATCTGTAAATCACTTCACTCAGTGCCTGCAAATAATATGCCTTCAAAAATAATTTTCCTACACTTTGTATTTTACTAGTTTCTACAGTACTTAAAATCAATTCTTATCTATTATCTTTAATAAATATGTGAACACATAATCATTTAATATGTCTACATGATACTAACCCAACATTCAAATCTTATCAATGTCATACATATGGAATATAATCAACTTTTAAAAAGTTTAGAATAACCACAAATATTTAGTAAATCATTCAAAAGATTTAAAAGAAAGTATGAAATTCCCTCCCCCCTTTTACTTTGGAAACAGTTTCCAATAATTTGGGTTTCCCTAGAATATATTAAAAATGATTCTTCATAAATTGTACTGGCTTAAGGACAACTCTCACAATGTGTTGAACATAATATTTCCTAAGAAAAACATGGAGGGACACAATTTTGCTTACTACATCAGTTCATTCCCAGATGTCTTTGGATAAGTACCCCAAACTACCATATAATTAAGATGCTATAATCGTAGTCTGAAAACAACAGCAGTCCCTATGTAAATACCATTCTATCACCTGGTTTTGTGTGAAAAATATCAAGTCATCCATATACTTATCCACACAGTTATCACAATAAAGATTAACAGAAAATGTTGTAAATACCTCTATAAGAAACAAGCCATTTGTTTAACCTACCTCTTCTCTATATTTTATCCTTAAAGTGAAACATGGACAAACACAACTGAATTTCCCATTTAAAGGCTCACCTCTTTGCAAAGACTTTTCAACATGTGTTTTTGTGGTCTGTAAAGCCTGATTTTTGTCAAAAGTTATGGCAACTGCTGTGACTGTAACCTAAAGTTACAGAAGAATATGATTAGCAAAATATCATAGCCAAAAAGAAGTTTCTTATAAATCTTTCTCAGTATTTAGGAACAAGCTACATTATTGTACTAATCTGCCTCTGCTGAGGTTAAGGTCTTCAATCAAATTATATACAAAGTCAGATATTCAAAATACAACTAAGTCCAATGTACATAGCTAAAGTTAGATAATCCAGAAAAATCTCAAGAACATCCTTAAAGAGATGACGACATGGGGCCAGCACTGTGGTGTAGTGGGTAAAGCTGTCGCCTGCAGCACCGGCATCCCATATGGGCGCCAGTTTGAGACCCGGCTACTCCACTTCCGATCCAGCTCCATGGGAAAGCAGTGGAAAACGGCCCAAGTCCCTGGGTCCCTATATCCACATGGGAGACTTAGATGAAGCTCCTGGCTCCTAGGTTCAGCCTGGCCTAGCCCTGGTCAATGCAGCCATTTGGGATCGAAGATCTCTCTTTCTATAACTCTGACTTATAAATAAAAGATGAACACTGGGAAAATTCCTTATAAAACATAAACCTTCAGGGCTGGAGTTGTGGCATAGCGGGTTAAGGTGCTGCCTGTGATGCCAGCATCCCATATGAAAGCTGGTTTGCGTCTCAACTGCTCCAGTTATGATCCAGTTCCCTGGGAAAGAACGTAGTCCAAGTAGTTGGGCTCCTGCATCTACATGGGAGACTGGCATGAAGCTCCTGGCTTTGGCCTGGTCCAGCCTTGGCCATCTGGGGAGTGAACCAGCAGGTAGAAGTACTCTGCATCTCCTTTGGTGCTCAGTTAGTTGTCGCCGATCAGGGAGAACATATGATATTTGTCCCTTTGGGACTGGCTCAATTCACTCAGCATGATGTTTTCCAAATTCCTCCATCTTGTTGCAAATGACCAGGTTTCGTTGTTTTTGACTGCTGTATAGTATTCTATAGAGTACATGTCCCATAATTTCTTTATCCAGTCTACTGTTGATGGGCATTTGGGTTGGTTCCAGGTCTTAGCTATTGTGAATTGAGCTGCAATAAACATTAATGTGCAGACAGCTTGTTTGTTTGCCAATTTAATTTCCTTTGGGTAAATTCCAAGGAGTGGGATGGCTGGGTTGAATGGTAGGGTTATCTTCAGGTTTCTGAGGAATCTCCAGACTGACTTCCATAGTGGCTTAACCAATTTGCATTCCTACCAACAGTGGGTTAGTGTCCCTTTTTCCCCACATCCTCTCCAGCATCTATTGTTGGTAGATTTCTGAATGTGAGCCATTCTAACTGGGGTGAGGTGGAACCTCATTGTGGTTTTGATTTGCATTTCCCTGATTGCTAGTGATCTTGAACATTTTTTCATGTGTCTGTTGGCCATTTGGAATTCCTCTTTTGAAAAATGTCTATTGAGGTCCTTGGCCCATCTCTTAAGTGGGTTGTTTGTTTTGATGTTGTGGAGTTTCTTGATTTCTTTGTAGATTCTGGTTATCAACCCTTTATCAGTTGCATAGTTTGCAAATATATTTTCCCATTCTGTCGGTTGTCTCTTCACTTTCCTGAATGTTTCTTTTGCAGTACAGAAACTTCTCAATTTGATGCAATCCCAAATGTTAATTTTGGCTTTGACTGCCTGTGCTTCTGGGGTGTTTTCCAAGAAGTCATTGCCGGTACCTATATCTTGCAGGGTTTTTCCAATGCTCTCTAATAATTTGATGGTGTCAGGTCGTAGATTTAAGTCTTTAATCCATGTTGAGTGAATTTTTGTGTAAGGTGAAAGGTAGGGGTCTTGCTTCATGATTCTGCACGTGGAAATCCCTCTCTTTCTGTAACTCTGCTGCCTTACAAATAAATAAATCTTAAAAGAGAAAGAGAGAGAGAGAGGAAAAAACAGTACACATTCTATTGTATATATGTGGAATACTCTGTGATTCCACCTTCAGATAAGCAGATCTCAGAAGAAGGGAACATACATGGCCTGATTCCTACTAGTACACGTTTTCATGTATTTTGAGGCAAAACACTGTGTGCTCAAGTTGTCTAACTGGATACTTTCTTTAATAATTAGGCCAAATTAGTTAATTACCTGAATTAATTCATCTTCAGGCAGAGATACTGTAAAATTTACATGGCAAAGACAGCAGGGGATCATAGACCGGAGTTTAAAATACAGGCTCTACACAATAGAAAAAATTAGTATTGTTACATTTTCCAACTTCCAAATTTACAACAGCATACTTTCTTGATGTACATATTATAGCAACTGAAAAGCTAAAAATATTAAAACAAAATTGGCCCATTTCTGATTCATCTGTTCTTATATAAAGAATACAATTCTAATATTTAAAGAGACAATAAGATTTAATCATATTTGTCAACAAGCTGTAAAAAATAAAAGGCTTTTTAAAAATTTATACGCGCTAGATTTTTATGATACTTAGGCTATTAACTAACCTAAGCTATAGTTTTTCTCATAGTACAATATTAAGAGAAAGAGGACAATATTAGCATCTCACCAGACGACAGATAAAAAAGCTTGACAGATAAAAATAATTCAGCCCACAACTATATAAGGTGTTAGAGACAGTATACTTTTCTTCTTTAATTTCACAGTTCTTAGCGTCTTTTACACAAAATTTATTCAGAAGGCTCCTACCTTGAGCAAATTTTCGCAGAGATCATTAAAGTTCTTATTGAGAGCTTGATTAGTCAGGTTAAGGCTGCTTAATCTGATTACTCTTACTGATGTGAACATCTGAATGTAGGGAGACACAACCATATGTCAGTTTATTATTCTTTACTGAATACTGAATCAGTTGATAAAACTGCCAAACAATGAACAATTATAACGTGGTATAAAAAAAGATCGTAATAAGGAGGTAAAAAAGAAAACAGGTATTGAGATGGAACACACACATTAACTTTCTTAAAATTAAGAATAAAAGATTTACCTGTATTTCAGATGTCCAATTATTTATACCAGGCATGATTTCTGTATTGCAACTATAAAAGCCTGACAAAATAAAAAGTAATTAGAACATGACACATCATTAACTTTTTATAGTTAAACTGTCACTGACTTTTATGTTAAACAATAAGATTTTTCAAGTACTACATGAAATATTAACTATAAAACATTCAGGTTTTTTTTCTAAACTTCCACAGCTTCAGGAGTCTTTAAACCACCCTGATAAATTCATTTTTTTCCATGTATAAGCATAAAAAGATTAAAAATCTGTTTCTGGGGCTGGTGTTGTAGTGTAGTGGTTAAAGCCTCTGCCTGTGACAATAGCATCTCATAAGGTTTCCAATCCCAGCTACTCCACTTCCAATCCAGCTCCCTGCTAATATGCATGGGAAAGCAGCAGGAGATGGCCCAAGTACCTGGGGCCCTGCATCTATGTGGGAGACCTGGATGAAGCTCCTGGCTCTGGCCATTGCAGCCATTTGGGAAAGAACCAGCGTATGGAAGAGCTCCCTCTCTCTCTGTAACTCTTTTTCAAACAAATAAATAAATCTTTTTTTAAAAAAGGATTTAAAATTGTTTCCATTTAAGTTTTAACCCAAATTTTTAAAAAATGTTTTCAGTCCTGGGGCAGCAGGCACACGACAGAATCTGACACTAACAGAAAGCCTTTAAAATTAAGTTAGTGCTCTAACAATGAGGAACTGAAATATTGACATGGAAAACTAGTTTCATCTGCAAGGCGGTTTTCATTTTCACCTGAAGGAGGGGGAACATCCGTCAGCAGAGAGTGCACGTCTTCCATGGCATCTGTGTCATCAATCTGAAAATAAAACACCCACCTATTACAGAAGTAGGAAACATATACTTTTCCAAATTAAAAAATAAACAGCTATTTAGAAAATAAAAAAATTTAAGGGTTGAAAAAAGTATAGCTGTTTTCTCCTAAGTTAAAATGTAAGTGGAAAAACATTCTGATATCAGCAAATTTCTAAGTGAACTATTTTTAATATTAAATATTGAGTTTAAAAAAAATCTACTTGTTCTCAGGTCGTTATGAGATTATGTTTCAAAAGATTTACAAAAACATCATAACTAAACATTATCTCAATTTGAGTAGTATAATTAAAAAAACTCTGAAATAAATACAGAACTGCTTTCTAATGGAATTCGGTGGGGATGAATCTAAGGCATATGTAAAATAAATAAGTCTAAATCCTAGTTTTCTCACATCACAATTTTATACTGGGAATGATCGTGAACACACTTAGCCAGACATACACTGACAACCATTAGTACATCAAGTGTCTTGGTCCTGACACACAGCCCCTCTATGCTCCCCTCACACAGCTGCTGGGACTTCAGGAACCACTCTCACTTCCACTTCACCTTAGCTACCCTGAGCTGTAGCCGTACCTCTACCCCCCTGTTCCCTAAAACACTCCACACCCAGGATCCAACCTCAGTCCCATCTCTTTGACCCTATTCCTGTTGACGCTGCACCCAGGTTCCGTCTTGTTCCATTTGAAGCACTTTGGTTTTCACGTTCTCTCTACATTTCCAGGATCCCAGGACCAGATATACCAGGAATGCCCTAGATTAACGCTCAGACATTGCTTAGCATCACCTCGAGAGTTTGTCAAACAGACTCCTTGAAACCCCAGGGCCCCCAAGTTTAAACCTCATACAAGCTCCCATTCACTGCTGACGCCACAGGCAGTCACACCACACTTAGAGTAGCACTGCTCTAAGCAGCACCCTAGAACCTTTCACCTCCTTGACCTCATCTACTTCTTTGACCAGTCTCCATTTTTTCCCATTTTGAGACTGCTTGGATCCCTGTATCCACTTGGGAGACCTGTAAGAAGATTCTGGCTCCTAGCTTTGGATAAGCCCAGCCCTAGCAGTTCTGGCCATTTCAGGAGTGAACCAGCAGATCAAAGACCTCACCCTCTGTTTCTCCCTCTCTCTATCTGTAACTCTGCCTATCAAATAAATAAATCTTTAAAAAAAAAAAAAAGAAATAACATATTACTTTCTTATTTAAATTCATTCAAGTTTACAAAAATAACTCCAAGGGCTTAATAATATAGATTAGGTATCCCTCATCTGAAACAGAACTGTCATAGATTTCAGAATTTTTTGAATTTTGAATTTTCAGCTACAACGTGCTCAATATGTATTTAAATATTATTTGGACATACACATTGATTGTTTCAGAACTACTGAATTATTATATCAGTCAAGTTGTGACATTTTTAGGTGTGTTGTAATTTCTGTAACTTTTAAAATCTGTAACAGTTGTGATGACAGAAAATTATCACATCAATTCAGTATCTGATTATAAAATATGTATTTCCCAAAGACTTTAAGAAGTCAGTCTAATTCAACATTACCTCCAAAACGAAAGCATCTTTTTTCCCATGTGAAAGATCTAATTCTGTAACTTCATCAGAGCTCTCTGACTGAGATCGCAAAAGTCTTGACCGTTGTCTAGGTTCAGGGATGGGTGATCCTATAATCTCTTCAGATATCTCCTAAAAGAAAAAAATTGCTTCATATTATGAGATTGCTTTTTTTTTCTAGTTTGGATTTAAACTTTCACATTATCAGAAAACTACTTGTGGAGCAAAGACTTTGAGACAGTCAAATAAAGCCTATATTTAAGCCTAAATAACTTTATGACTTTTCACAGAAGACAAGCATAGATCCTTTCATCTGTAACAGAACTCTTATCAACACAATCAATGTGGATGTGTATGTAATGTACATGTATATAGCCATCATATACACAATAAAGCAAAACTGATAGGTAGTGTATAGAGCAAACACAATAAGTCTGAAAATTCCTGGCTTTGAAAAGCTTTTTTCTTTTTAAATAAAATTATCTTTCAATTCTATTTACTACAAATACATTGTTTTAAGGTTTTATTTAGTGGAGCCAGCATTGTGGCTCAGTGTGTTAATGTGCCACTAGTGACACCAGCATTCCATATGAGCACCAGTAGATATAGAAAGTTTCCTGTGGAAGCAGGCACTAAGTTGTGGTGGGTAAAGCTGCATTTGTAGTGCTGGCATGCCATATGGGCGCCAATTCAAGTCCTGGCTGCTCCGCTTCTGATCCAACTTCCTGCTGATGCACCTAGGAAAACAGCAGAAGATGGCCCATATCCTTGTATCCCTGAACCTAGTTTGAAGACCCAGATGAAGCTCCTGGCTCCTGGCTTCAACTTGGCCCAGGCAGGGCTGTAGTGGCCACTTGGGGAGTGAACCAGCAGATGGAAGATAATCTCTCTCTATCAACTTACCTCTATCCCCCTGTCTCTTTCTCTCTCCTTCTCCCCCACTCTCTCTCTTCATTTGTCTTCCCTCCTTCTCTGTAACTCTGATTTTCACATAAATAAAACTTTTAAAAAGAAGTCACAAGTATTTCAAAATTACATATTTAAATGTTCATTATGCACATCCATTTATCTTAGCTGTATTTCAAATTAACCTATCCTATAAGTCTGACTGGATGCACACTACAGTGACAACCAAGTGAGAAAGAGCTGCAATTCAAACATGAAGATATCTGCCTGGGTTTGGACACTGCTAAGTGAGGAGCCTGTCTAGGATAGGTCTTTTCACTCTTATGTAATATCTGCTTGTTAGGCACCACACTTCTTGTTATGGCTTTATAGCAGTTTAGAATTCTGTTATGCCTCTGCTAACTACATCATGAACCTAAACTGAAATTGTTTGGTATTTAAGATATCTTTGTGTAATCATGAGGTTTCATCACTAGGAATGTTATTCTAAAAAGTTTTGTGCTTTTGTTATCCTCAATTATCCATATAAAGTTTAATTAAGTAGTACTACACCTCTACATTAAAAACCTTTTTCAGGGTAGTGAGAGAAAAACATCAAACAATAGCATTCACTTTCTCAGAGAAGAATATACTGATCCACATTTCCAGGATGGGCATACATTGCTCTACAATTAACAAGACAAAATCGTAATGTATACAGTGGTCTGGTAATTAATTTTGGGCACTAACTTTGTTAATTTCTGACATGATGGGGCCAGCATTGTGGTCTAACAGGTTAAGCCACTGCCAGAAGCACCAGCATCCTATAGGGGTGCCGGTTTGAGTCCTAGCTGCTCCATTTCTGATCCAGCTCCCTGCTAATATGTCTGGGAAAGCAGTAGAAGGTGGCTCAAGTACTTGGGCCCCTGCACCACCCATGTGGGAGACCCAGATAAAGCTCTTGGTTCCTGGCTTTGGCCTCGCCCAGCCCCAGCCACTGTGGCCATTGGGTGCATGAACCAGTGGATAAAAGATCTCTTTCTTTATTTTTCTCTTTCTCTCTGTAATCCTACCTTTCAAATAAATATTTTAAAACTTTGAGATGTCGTAGCCGGTGCCGCAGCTCAGTAGGCTAATCCTACGCCTTGTGGCGCCGGCACACCAGGTTCTAGTCCCGGTCGGGGCGAAGGATTCTGGCCCGGTTGCCCCTCTTCCAGGCCAGCTCTCTGCTGTGGCCAGGGAGTGCAGTGGAGGATGGCCCAGGTTCTTGGGCCCTGCACCCCATGGGAGACCAGGAGAAGCACCTGGCTCCTGCCATCGGATCAGCGCGGTGCGCTGGCCACAGCGCGCCAGCCACAGCGGCCATTGGAGAGTGAACCAACGGCAAAAGGAAGACCTTTCTCTGTCTCTCTCACTGTCCACTCTGCCTTTCAAAAAATAAAAATAAAGAAAGAAAGAATTGATTGTTAAAAAAAAAAAAAAAACAAAACTTTGAGATGTCATATTAAAGGGCTATAATGTGGTCATTATCTAAAATGAGGAAAATTACATGAGGATTCATAAACTGATGAACCTTTTTGTGGAAATACAGTCATCAATACATGAAATCCATATACACTGACAATTTTTTAAACTGTAATAGATTTACTCGCTCTTCCAAAATGTAAACTGTATGACACATGGCAGCAGCTCATTGGCTTTTCATTGAATGGATGAATTTAACTGGTATTCTCCTTTCAATAGGCTCATAAAAACATAAGTTTCGTTCTAACTCCAACATTTCTTGCTCTCAATTCGGGCTATGGCTATAAGTCATCCATAAAGCAGGAAGCACTGTAATACGTACTAGAAGAATGATCATGGAAGTGACTTGTGGGAAAATTGTAAGAAAGGAGCTATAACAGAATAAATATGTTCTTTCACATTTTTACCATAAGTAATCTTTCTTTTCATTACCAAAGAGCATTCTAAACCACTGATTCAATCATCCAACAAATATTGATTCGCCACTTACTACCATCAGAAACTGTTTCAGACAAAGAATTTAGCCATAGCAGAACATCATTCTACTGGCAGTAACAGGCAGCAGACAAAAATCAAAAGCACACTAATTCATGTGTATGTCTTTTATGGCCTAAAGGAAACCCTAAAAATATACTAACATCTAAACAATAATGATGTGCTCAACGGAAGAGTTATTTTACTCACAGGAGGATTGATTTCATATAACTCTTTGTTCTTGGCAATCGTGTCGTTGATCTTCTTCTGCATGTGAGAGATGTGCTGTTCGTAGGTGCCATCACTTGGAGTCTTCCCAGCAATCTGAATTCCACCAGGTGGGGGCAGAGCTGCCAAGTACACCCCTGTAGCAGACTTGTAAAAGCAACGGGGAAGTGATCCTAAGAACACTGAAAGAAACACTGGTCCTTAACTGTTCCTGGTGAGGGATGCAGCTAACCAGGGTGTGCACAGGTCACCTCTAGAAGGCAAGACTGGTGAAAACTTTAATTGGTAACAGTGGTTGGCTGCTTCTGGGAAGGACACTGGGTAGGTTGGGGACAGCTGTCAAAGGGGAATTTACTTTGCTCTGCATACCCAGTGATACTCTTAATATTTTATAATTGCAAAAATATAGATTAATATGCTGCTTAGCAAAAAAGTAAATAACAGGCTGCTAAAAATAAGTTTTTCACAATAAGTAGATAATTAAACTAAAAATGGCAAAAGTAGAAGGGAAACTTCTACAACAAGGCAAGTGGAATAAAAGAAGTTCAGCAAAAACAGGAAACTTACTGAAGACCACAGCCAAAAAATACGGAGAAGGGATTTGAATGTAAATGGTTCTTACTCCAAAATCCAGTAAGTTTCATTGTCTTGCCCCATCTCCATCATTACCAACAACAAAATGCTTTATATTTATTTTAAATATTTAATTAAATGACTATCAACTTCTGAATCAGGAATAGTTACAAAGCATTTGCACAAGAAAATTACTAGAAATATAAAATAAATTGAAATTTATGGATTTCTATGCGCATTTCTTTTTAAATACACCAACAAGTACTTAAAAAGCAGTAGAATAAACATCAAATGAACCTCAAAGGGGGCAGAATAGATAAGACATTAATTTTGAAATACTTGAAATTTTACTATCATTTTATATATTTTTAAAATTAATCAATTGCCAGTTTTGTAGAAGTCACTAAAAGGGTAGGCGACTCTACGCTGAAGTCCACACAGTAGAAGAAAACTGAGCCCCAGGAGCACGCTCTGACTTTCAAATAAATACATAAATAAATAAATCTTTAAAGAAAAAAAGTCTATGAAAGCTGAAGACAGGATCTTTCTCTGATTAAATAGTTCCCAAATCTTAAAAGATCTAGCCATTGCTTTCTTTACAGGACATCTTTTTGGAAGATTCTTTAAATCAAACATACAACAGAATATACTACAATTACAGAAAACGAAACCCGAAACATCTAAACTTACCGCTAAGCCCATCAACATATTTTCACCCACTGTGATCTGAATTCTTAGCCCAAACAAAGCATTCATTCCTTTGAGTTTTAGTTTATTCATTAGCTGAGTGTGCACTTCATACTCCATAAATGGCAAGAGATTACTGATAGCTGTAGCATTTGCTTCTGCTTGAGCCTTCTTTTTTAAGCGACACAACCTGTCAAGGGAAATAACACAGTCAGTGAAGAGTACTCATGGTACCATCTGAAGAAATGCTTAATTCTTAAACTCTGAAAGTATGCTTAGTAAAACAGCTACTTGTTTCAAAGGGCTTATTAAGTTATATCACTATTCTTTTTTTCACTTTCATCTCTGTATGTTTTTTCTAAGTCATATTTCAGTAAGCAAAAATGAAAGACCTCAAAATCTCTAGAAATGAAATAAATACTGACTAGAATCACCAGAGAATATAATTTAAAATCTTAAGTTCCAAAACTGAGTATGATCATAAATTAGAGAAAAAAAGCATATGCAGAGAAAAAAATTTATGCATTCAAAGAATACAAGAGTTATTGAGTATCTACTATGTGCCAAAAAGGCTACCCTCAAAGGGACAAAAGAGATTGATAAAATTATTTTTCAACAACAATGAAAGCCAAAAGGCACTGTGAAAGAATATCTTCAAAATGCTGGGAAAAAAAAAAAAAAGAACTACCAGCCCAAAATACCTTTTAAAGATAAAAATATAACATATACCCATTTTTCAGATAAACAAAATACACAGTTTACTATCAGCAGAGTCCTTAGAAGAAAAAGTACAGCATATGCCTCAGCCAAAGGAAAACAATCTCAAGTGGAAGGTTTGAGATGCAAGAGGGAAAAAAGGAAGGGATTAGAAACCTATTTCAGGCTGGCGCTGCGACTCAATAGGCTAATCCTCCGCCTGAGGCGCCAGTACACCGGGTTCTAGTCCCGGTCAGGGCACCGGATTCTGTCCCGGTTGCCCCTCTTCCAGGCCAGCTCTCTGCCGTGGCCCGGGAGTGCAGTGGAGGATGGCCCAAGTGCTTGGGCCCTGCACCCCATGGGAGACCAGGAGAAGCACCTGGCTCCTGGCTTCAGATCAGCGCGGTGCGCCGGCCGCGGCAGCCATTGGAGGGTGAACCAACAGCAAAGGAAGACCTTTCTCTCTGTCTCTCTCTCTCTCACTGTCCACTCTGCCTGTAAAAAAACAAAACAAAACAAAAACAAAAACAAAACAACAACAACAAAAAACCTATTTCAAAGGAAAAGAACATAGCTTTGTAAGGGACAGGGGAATGCTAACAAAGAAAGAGTGCCAAAGAATATCAGCGGGTTAAAGCCCTGGCCTGAAACACCGGCAATCCCATATGGGCTCCGGTTCTATTCCCAGCTGCTCCTCTTCCAATCCGGCTCTCTGCTATGACCTGGGAGAGCAATGGAAGATGGCCCAAGTGCTTGGGCCCATGCACCCATGTGGGAGACCCAGAGGAGGTGCCAGGCTCCTGGCTCCTGGCTTCGGATCAGCACAGCTCCGGCCATTGAGGCCATCTGGGGAGTGAAATAGTGGATGGAAGACCTCTCTGTCTCTACCTCTCTCTGTAACTCTGTCTTTGAAATAAACAAAATAAAAACATAAAATAGAGCAGACTAATAAGAAAGAAGTGGAGAGGATGTACAACTCAGCGTGGACTAAGCATGTGACGCCTAGGATAAAACAACATGGGCTGTGAAGCAGACAATGAGAGGGGTGTAAAGCTCAAAACAAAGTTCTGGATGAGTCACAAATGTGGGAGTCACAGAAGACAACCTATAGATCCCTATGAGTGATGAGTTTAACAAGAGCGTGCTCAGAGGGAGTCCAAACCTGCAGCTTTCCAGGATCAAGACACAAAGAACAACAAAGGAGACTGAAGGCTACACACAGGCAGGGAAAACACAAGGTGTGGCATTGTGAAATCAATGGAGTTTCAAGGAGAAAATGACCAATTGTGTCACTACTGCTAAGATGTCCAGTAAAATGAGGACAGAAATGTCCAAGAAATTGTTAAACTGGCAACCGTTCGTGATCTAGACAGCTACAGCTGTTTCTGGTATGCTGCACAATTTAAGATGTACTACTCCAGAGTTTTTTAAAAGGAACTCCTTTTTCCTTCGACTTAAAAGAAAAAAAAAAAATCCCCCCCCCCCCTTCCTCCTTCCTTCCTTCCCTCCCTCCCTTCCTTTGCTTCACTTCGCTTCGCTTCCTTGAAAGGCAGAGAGAGAGAGATCTTCCATGTCCTGGTTCACTCTCCAGATACCTGCACAGCCCGGGCTAAGTCAGATTGAACTAGGAGTTGGGACCTCAATCCGAGTCTACCATGTGCGTGGCAGGGACCCGTGAACTTGAGCCATCATGTGCTGTTGCACAGAGTGTACATTAGAATGAAGCTGGCATCAGGAGGGGAGCTAGGACTTGAACTGGGGCAGGCGTTGGGCACAACGGTTAGCATGCTACTGGGGATGCCTTCATCTCATGCTGGAGTGCCTGTGTTCAAGATCTGGCTCTGCTTCTGGTTTCAGCTTCCTGCTAATGTGCATCCTAGGAGGCAGATGATGCCTGAAGTACCTGGGTCCAAACCATGTGGGAGACCCACACTGAGTTCTAGGCTCTTGGCTTCAGCCTGACACAGCCTTGGCTATTGCAGCATTTCAGGAGTGAATCAGGGATGGATGATCTCTGCCAGTCTCTGTCTCACTGCAGTCCAAATCAAATGTAAATAAATTCTTTAAAAAGACAAAGAAACTCAATAGCTGAGCAGTAAAAGTAACACTACATGGCACAGTAGTGTTTATAAAAGGGAAAAATAGAGAGATTTCATTAATGATAATGTCATTAAATAAGTCAACACCAAGTCACATTCCAAGCCTGTAAGGTGGCTGGCGACGTGGCACAGCAGGTTAAGGAACCGCCCACAATGCCAGCATTTCATATGGGCAATGGTTCGAGTCCCAACTGTTCTGCTTCCGATCCAGCTTCCCACTACTGAGTCTGGGAGGGTATTAGAAGATTGTCTAAATACTTGGCTTATGCCACCCCTGTGGAAGACCCGTATGGAGCTCTAGGATCCCGGCTTCAGTGTGGCACAGCCCTGGCCATTGTGGCCATTTGGGGAATGAATCAGTGGATGGAAGATCTCTTTCTTTTCCTCTGTCTCTGTGTCTCTGCTTTTCAAATAAATAAATAAATCTTTAAGAAAAAAAATCCCTAGCCCATAGCAAACTAATTAATAATCCCTATAATAATAAATATTTAATAAAATTTAAACACTTAAAATCTGCTTTTACACATAAACTTATTGGAGTTACATACAAAAGGTATTTTAATTCCCAATTTTACATGCAATAAAATACAAGCTTGGGACAGAACTGCCCAGGTTGTCTATAATCAAACAGGTTTATGATTCCACACATTCTTTTTTGGGGGTATTAAATACTGTTTTCACACACATACCTTGCTTGAATAAGACAACCTTTTCCAATAACGACTGCATCTGTTGGGAGGTCTATAGTTGTAAAGAGAACATCAGGAACTTTTTGTTTCCTGCAGTTATAGCAATATGTGAGATGAGCTGGAAATGGCATATTCAGTTCATCATATGGTATATGGCAAAATCCACAGCCGGCAGGCAAATTTTCTTCAAGCCTATATAAACACATTAAGAAAAAAATAAAACATTCTTGAAAAATCTTTTTATTTTAAAAAAACATGTGCTTGCGCTATTTGTGCAGAAACTACATACTTCTACCACAGCAGGCTATAAGAGCATTACTCTGACAAGAATGACAAATAACCATATCAGAACTTTACATTTTTCCTACAAGAGAAAAAGCTAATACAAGTTGACAATCATTAGCACCAATTCTATGTTTCATGACTTAACTGACAAAAACTACTACTGTCTCAAAGGTTTTTCTGTGAGATGCAAAAATATAAGTGTCTGGACAATAAGGGTAACATTTTCCCACCAGCTGACAAATATAACACAAAAAAATTCCTAATGAGAGAAAAAAGTTCAATCAGACAACCTAAAAATTGGAAAAAATTTCAACATAAAAATGAGAAACAAGGAAGTTAAAAATAGACATTCTAAATTTTTAATTCCCCAATGAATATTTGAACTATCCTGAAAAACAAAGCATTTGTTTCATAAATGACATACATATCATAAAGAAACAACAAATGAAATTCCCATAACCTCCCTATTCATTGTGAAACGGTTGTTGCCATGTACTGTTTGTGCATTCATTTTATAATGATCAAACATTTTTTTCATTCATTAAATTTGAGAAAGACAACATAACAGGAATGGAAACAGAGAGAAGTTCTAAAAAGAACTTCAGACTTTTGCACAGCCACATCTAGGGCTGTGGAAAGACATCCATCTTAATTTTCCCTAACCAGTGTTGTGGCTTAGCGGGTAAAGTGACCATCTGCAATGCTGACATCCCACCTGGACACCGGTTTGAGTCCTGGCTGCTCCACTTCTGATCCAACTCCCTGCTTAAGTGCCTGGGAAAGCAGCAAACGATCAATGAAGTGCTTGGGCCACTAGCGCAGCCCTGGCCATTGCAGCCATTTGGGGTCTACCTTTCAAATAAATAAATAAATAATTTTTTTTAAAATTAAGCAACCCACTAGAAGTTCAATATCCAGCTGCAGCTCTGGCCAGGCTCCTGATCCAGCTTCCTGCCCCTGCAGGGCCCGAAGTCCACAGCAATGATTCAGTAACTGAGATCCCGCCACCCACATGGGAGGTCAGGACCGAGTTCCCCATTCCTAACTCGGCCCCAGTCCAGCTCAGGGTCACTGCATACCCAGGGCCTCTGTTTCTCAAACAGGTAAATATTTTAAAAAGTTGTAACCTGGCTAGTAGGCAAATTAAAAAGGATCAAGGAAAGGAAAACTCATAACATATATACGTTAAGAGACAGGTCTAATTCAGACCTTATATGCTGCTTTACTCCATCTTTAGAATAACCTCCCAAAAATCACATTAAATCACTCCTAGATATTATTCTTTGACTGTGGAGATGACATTCTGCTGTATTAGAAACAATAAGGAAATCAGACTGCTCAGAGCTTAAATGAATAAGGTGTTCACCCCGACAGCCTCCTCTATGAAACCTGAGTAATCTACCTAGAAAAGCTTGCAGGGGTTTTTGAAGACTTAGAAAACTGTATCTAAACATACATCCTACTTCCAACGTAAAGCCTAGCAGACAACAACAAATACTGGTTCCTCTTAGCCTGAGATACTTGTCCCAACTTGCTAATTCAAACTAAGTAATTAAAACAGCAAATCTAGTATTTGGATTTCAGTCTGTTTGAATCCAAAGCTCCCATGTTACACTGGGGCCCAAGAGGATGAAAAGTGGAGCTACCTTTTTTTTTTTTTTTTTTTTTTTTTTGACAGGCAGAGTTAGACGGTGAGAGAGAGAAACAGAAAGTTCTTCCTTTCACTGGTTCACCCCGCAAATGGCTGCTACGGCCGGCGCACTGCACTGATCTGAAGCCAAGAGCCAGGTGCTTCCTCCTGGTCTCCCATGCGGGTGCAGGGCCCAAGCACTTGGGCCATCCTCCACTGCCTTCCCAGGCCACAGCGGAGAGCTGGACTAGAAGAGAAGCAACCAGGACAGAATCCGGCGCCCCGACCGGGACTAGAACCCAGGGTACTGGCGCCGCAAGTGCAGGATTAGCCTAGTGAGCCGCGGTGCCGGCCAAGTGGAGCCACTTTTACCAAACATTTCAAGGGGGCCGGTGTTGTAGCACAGGTTAATCCTCTGCCTGTGGCGCCAGCATCCCATACGGGTGCCAGTTCTAGTCCCAGCTGCTCCTCTTCCAATCCAGCTCTCTACTATGGCCTGGGAAAGCAGTGGAAGATGGTCCAATTCCTTGAACCCCTGGAAGAAGTTCCTGGCTCCTGGCTTCAGATCAGCCCAGCTCCGGCCATTGCAGCCGGATGGAAGACTTTTTTGCCTCTCCCGCTCACTGTCTGTAACTATACATATCAAATAAAAAAAAAAAAATTTTCACACAAAGGTGAACATAAGAGGTACTACATCAGAGGCATAAATGATTATGACAATTTCCGAAAGAATGGATTGCCCCTGAATACTGGGATCACAGGGAATTTTTTCTTCCTTCTACTCTCCTAGAGAGCACTAATAATTTCACAGAAGAAAAAAATGTTTTTTATTTTCTGAAGAAGACAATTGGCAGTATCCATCCAACTCACAATACAGAAATAACCAACCAGCACAAAAAACAGTCACTTGTTCAATCAGTCTTCTTATCTACTCAAGAATAAAATCTACTGATGTGTAAGAACTATGGTGCAGCACTGGGACAACTGAATGACAGAGTTTTCCTAATGGAATATTCCAACCAGGAGCTGGCAAAGTAGTGCCACAGGTTAAGCTGCCACCTTTAACACACCAGCAGAGCGCGGGCTCCAGTCTGAGCTGCTCTGTTTCAGATCCAGCTCCCTGCTAACATGCCTGGGAAGGCCAGCGGAAAAAGGCCCAGCTACTTGGATCAATGCCACTCACTTGACAGACCGACATGTAATTCCTGGTTTCGGCTTTGCCCAGCCCAACAACCATGATGGTCACAAGGGGAGTGAACCAGTGGATGGAAGATTTCTGTCTCTGTCACTCTGCCTTTCAAACAAATAACATAAAGCTTAAAAATATATTATTTCAGTCATTTATTTTATTTCAAAATCTTCCACTTTCATTTTCTATGTATAATGACCTCTGAGGCTCTGGAATATTCAATTGTTCCATTTTAATACTGACAAAAGAAGAACGGCCAAACAAGCTTTCTTTGTTATACAGAGACTTGCAAACTTATACTCAAAGTGCATAGCTCAAAAATTATTTTTTACTTTCTTTACTGGTATATGAGAGTACTTCAAAAAGTTGGTGGAAAAAATGGAAATAAAATGTAAGTTTATTTTGATGTAAAAAGTATTTGATATCCATGCACAGCTTTTCATAATACACATTACAATGATTTTTTTGAAGATTGCTCCCACGAATAGATTTCAAAATTCAAAATCTGTTTCTGGAAAAGCAATTTTTAACATTTATGGAAATTAATATTTTAAGAGTTTACTGGGGGCCAATAATTAAATATGTAAAAATCTCATTTTATCTATTCACTTTCTTTTTCACAATATTAAAGTTACACTTCACTTTGCACGTTATTTTTTTTAAAAAAAGATTTATTTATTTACTTATTTGAAAGGCAGAATTGCATAGAGAGGTAGTGACAGAGAGGGAGAGAGAGAGAGAGAGAGATTTCTCATCTGCTGGTTCACTCCCCAAATGGCTGCAACAGCCAGGACTGTGCCAGGCTGAAGCCAGGAGCCAGGAGTATCTTATGGGCTTCCCATGTGGGTGCAGGGGCCCAAGCACTTGGGTCATCCTCCACTGTTCTCCCAGGTGCATTAACAGGGAGTTGGATAGGAAGTGGAGCAGCAGGACGTGAACTGGTGCCTATATGGAATGCCAGCACTGTACAAGGCAGCTTAACCCACTATGCCACAGTGCCAACCCCTCCACAAAGATTTTATAATTAATTTTGTATAATAGTGTGCTTTACTTTTATAAATTAAGCTTTTATTAAAAAACCTTTCTGTTTTTGGAGGCAAAAACAAAGGATAAAAAAGATAAAAATCAAAAACTTATTTCTGTAATGTGATACCAAAAAAATGCACAACTCAAATTCTTTAATTGGCAGTCATTACACATCACATATCAAAATATTAGAAATAATTTGTAGAATTCCATACTTCTCTGTTACCAGCATTACAAGTCACTGCAAAACCGGGTCCCGATTTCTGCATTGTACCATCATTAACAACCCACACAGAAAACTATCCCAGCTCTGAGAAAGCAAAAAAAGTCAACCACTCCCTTCTCTGCCTTTATGGAAAATAAACCAGGCTGCCATGACAACCTTTGTTCCAAACAGCCCTCCACGGTGCCCTCCTGCAGAAATCGAGGGTTCAGTACAGCCGCCGTCCCGGATGCAGATAAAATACAGACCTCTTCACTGTGGGAAAAAAAAAAAACACACACACACAACTTACTATCACTAGTCAATAAGACTGTGGAAAATGCTACATATCAAAATGATAACAAGAACAGCAATTTAAATTCAAGTTAATAAATACTCAATAATATCACAGAATTACCTCCTAAACCTAGAACAGAAAACAGAAGTATTTAATAGAATAGATAAGGCAAGAATTCTTTATAAATTAAAAACACCCTGGAATACCTCAATCATAAATGTAGTGTATCTGTCATGATTTTTCCAGTAGAATATAAATCTAGTGGCAAGAATTATGCCCTTTAAACTCATATCCCTAAAACCTGAAAATATGAGACTAAATCCATGAAGGAGACTATCCCCTGGGGAGGAACAGGTAGGATAAACAAGCATGATAAAGTCAGTAGTTAACACAAGTGGGACAGCTACCATGAGACAAGAACAGTTCAAGGGTGTAATACATGGCAGGCTAAAGAGACGAAAGGGCTCATGAAGATTAAAGAGCATGGCTCTGTAACACCCACATTTATGCTATTTTAAATATTGCTCTCTAACAAGAACAATCACTGCTAGAGCAGCAAATATGGCAATGAGAACTATCCAGTAATAAAAGGTAGGAAATTAAGATGGCACAAGGTCAGTTTCAAGTAGATATTAATCTATCAAGCCAGTATTAATTCTACCTTAAGGAAGAATTTAAAGTCGACAAAACAGTCAGCAAAGCTAGAACTAACATGAAGAACTGGGAAAACACTTGGTTAACATAAGGGTCCAGATCAGGCATTTGGTGCAACCGTTAGGGTGCCACCCAATCTTAGTCCCAGCTACTGTGCCTTGGATCTGCCCTCCTGGTGATGCTGATTCTAGGAAGGCAGCAAATAACTGGGTTCCTAAAACCTACTCGGGAGACCTGGAAAAAGTTCCAGGCCCCTGGCTTTAGCTTGGTCCAGCTCTGGTTGTTGCAGCCATTCAGGGAGTGAACCAGTAAATGGATGATCTCTCTGCCTCTGTCTTTCAAATAAAACTACAAAAAAAGATAAACATCCAAACAAACTAGATGTATATGAACAAACTGGTGTAAAAACATTAAGCTGTAATTTAAGAACACAACTTTGTTAGTTTCATGTATTTTAAGTGGCATAGTTTGGGGCCCTAATGACCATGGCTCAAAGTCAAGTGGAAATAGAGGATGAGATACTGAGAAACTACAATGCCAGGTACAACTGGAGGTGACAGCAGAGAAGCTACTGAAAGCTAGAGAAAGGCAGGAAAATGTTTTGGAGGTGGGTAAGTCTGAACAGTAGAATGGTGTGCACTTTAAAGCAGGAGAGGCTATCCAAATTAGAGAAGGAACTGAGAGCCAAGAGTAAGGAAGCCCCTTTTGAACTTGGCAGTGAAGAAGGATGTGTTGGCAAGACAATGAAGATACATTCAAACTTTATACTTTGCAGTGCATTTCCAACAGACCAAGGTTCCAAAGGTCCCAGGAGAGGGAGTTAGCAGATTCACAGATTCCAGAAAAACAGGCCCAGAGTTAACACTTGCTAGGTGCTAGAACATTCTCTTCTAATCACTCAAAAACCTTAACAAGTAGGAGATATTACTGCCTTTGTAATGTATAAATTGTGGGTCAAAGTAGTTGAGTAACCTTCCCAAAGTTTCACAGTGATTAAGTGGAAAACATGGCATACGAAACTTGATCCTGACCACTTCGCGTCTGTTTTCTTTATATCTGCATAAAGCTCTTTCTCTTTTCAAGACAATCTAAATGATGCACCTAGAAAATCAAGTTGTTATCATTTACCAGATGCTAGTTGATTCACTGTAGCCCACTACCGCATGACAGCCTAATGCTTTAGCATGTGATTTTATTTCTTGTCTTATCTCTGCCCACCACGCATCTCGAGTTTCTGGTTCATCTGAAAAATAAATTTTAAATCAATTCACCACTCAATAGCACATTGTGATATAAACACAAAATGTTTAAAATAAACATACTATGGAGGGTTAAAAAAAAGGATTATCCTACAACAGATTTTCAAACCTCACATCTTTTAAATGCTACTCTTCAAAAAGTCTAAGACTTAATATTTTAAACTTAATCACTAAAAAAGAAACTGCCAAGCTCTATTTGCTTTTATTTAAGTAACACCTATAAGAGTGTATCTTATTATATACAACTTAAAATGTGGACCCAGAGTTTAGGATTATCATCTTAGTTGCGAGGAAATGCTATGTCTCAGCTCAGGGAGGGAACACCCTATGAGTCATACCCATAAATTTAATTTAAACCTGATTTCAACACTTCCTGGTATCTATTTTTTTGATCATCCACTATTTTGGGAGTTCTTTCCAAGGCAAAGATTTCCATGTTAAGAGAGAAAGCCATCCGTAGCCAAAATCTACAGAGATGGTGGTCTTACACAAAAGTTACAGGAAATAAAGGGACTAGCCATTCAAAAAAAGGGGGGGGGAGGGGAAAGCAAACATTGAAAAGATTAATACAAATAATTTTGTTAATGTGTATAAGGATAACTTTAGATACAACATTATAAACTCCATATATGGCTCTATAATTTTAAAAAATGGCTTAGAACTACAGAACTAGGAAAGTCTAGTGTTTCCTATAATGGAGCATTGTTTAAGTGCAACATTGGCCAGGCCACCTCCTAATCACTTGCATTTAGCTGCAAACTATAGTGACTGTCTCATCAAAGATGTTAAAAAGAGAAACAGTCTATAATTTGTATATCCTGATTTTTCTTTTTGTGGCCAGTTGCCACTGAGAACAACTTGAGACACAGAAATACTTAAACAACTTTTAATAGAAAGCTAAACTCTAACTACAAATTTTCCACATAAAGCATACCATTAAAACTGAAAAAACAATCTAAACACTTTCTATTTTTAGATCGCAACATATACCTGATTTTCAAAAAAAATGTTGTTCAAAATAAAGTAGAATAAGTAGAATTATACTCACTAGTAAAATAGCGAAGACAGCAAAGTAAAGAAAGATTAAGAGCCTTGTTATAGTTCACATTTCTAGGGTATGATTTTGTTTCCTCCACAGGGAGGTTATCAGCAAAAGGGAGAATGAGGAGATAAGAGTCAGGACTACAAATGAAGCCAGTCAGTTCTTGCATTAAAGTTTTGGATCCAAGACAGAACTACCCGAAAACTTTCTTTCAGAAAAAAAGAAATGGAGACTTCAGGAAACTGAAGAAAAGTTCCAAGTACAAAAAAAAAGAAAGACATAGAGAAGACTCCAATATTGTGTTAGCAATCAATATTATGTTGAGAAACAAGTGAACCAATTAAATGGACTTATTTTGTATATATACTACTGAGTTAAGGAATTTATTCATATTCCTAATTGAAATGTATACATTAACAGCACAGAAATGCTTTCAAATTCATTTTTTTCCTTCTAAAACAGAGACCCTTGTAAACCAATTTCTATATATGTATATATGCATTAACATCATCCTATTCTAAAAGAAAATCTTTGAATTATCAAACTATTTTTCAAGTGTACACTAATCAGTCAAATTATTTATGCTTATCAGGACACAAAATACGAATAATAATAAAAATACATCTACGTTTAGGAAATATTTTCCTGAAACACCACATGAAATAAAAGTTTAACTTTTCTTGAGCTAACTAGTAGAACCTCCTACTGATTTTTTAAACCATTCTTAAAGTTTAAAATAATATTTTCTAAAGCAAGTAACTGCATTCTGTTTTTATAGGAATAGATTTTCTCACACTAGGTTTGCCTATTAGCTGAACCACCAGAAATATATGTTTGAAAATGAAATTTACAAGAAGCAGTCTGTAACACTGTTTTAATAGCTAGTGAAAAATGGAGGGAGCTATTGATTTTAGGTTTGAAACACATTTACTAGAAATGGCCAGCATGTCTAAATGGAAAAGTATAATAATTCCTGTGAGATACATGTAACCACATAGAATACAAAGTTTATTTACATCAAACTTACCTTGGAATGACACACAAAATAATCATAATTAAATCAAACACTATGAAAGAATAAGTGGCTGATTTAAAAAAATAAAGAAAACAGAAAACCAAAAAGCTGAATGTAGCGCAAGTGGAGCATTCATACTCTTCTGACAAATTCACAAGCAGCCTTTATTTTGACACATGAGCCACACAACTGCACATGGGGATGCCATTACTGTATTTAATAAACTATTTACAAGTGTAATAAAAAGCTAAAAAGAGTTACATAACATGGGAGCTCAGGAAGCAAATGGCATATGTCCACACTTTAGAATAGTTCTTCAATTTGGTTTTTGGCTACAGCAAAAGCTCAAGGAACAGAGGGTTTGCAAAGCAGATTCAGCATACAGGAGCCAGAAACAGTGGATATTTGGGCGCATGCTTGGATCAGGTGACAGTACGGACTGAAAACTATGGCAGCTCACTGAAATGGTCACAGAAAGGAATGGCCCTAGAGTTTAGGTGAAAGCAAGGCAAGCATACAGTAGGGAGCACTTAATCACACACTAGTGCTTGTGTTAACAGTAATCATCTACAACTGTGAAAATAAGCCTAAGAATGAGATCTCTCTCTCTCTCTATGTATATAGATAGGCTATTAAATTTAGGGGCTATTTAGAAAAACATTAAGACTAATCAGTTTACTCAATATTAAAGAAAAGTTAAATTTACCTTCAAAGCCTTTATTACACTCTTGCTAAAGATGAGCCACAGAATCTTCAGCCTAATTTATTACCAGTAAAAACTGAGAAATATAGAATTCAATCTCTACAACAGAATTTTTAAGGTTTAAAATTGCTACTACATTCTTATAGGAAACACAACAGTGAATCCAAATTGTTCTATTCACTCTATAAGAATACAAAATTGAGGATTTACCATATTTTATAAAAGGCAAGCGAGTGGCTTAAAAATTGATGACAACTACACTGCTACCCATAAAATTAAGCTCTTTGAAAGACATACAGCTGAGATGTGAGATCACATTTGATAAGAATTTCAAAGGTTCTTATAAAGGGAAAAAAACCTCTTCACTTTAAACACTATGTTCCTCCCAGTAATTCACAGAATTATTTTAAATTACAAAACGGTATCATTTAAAGAGAACTTAAAAGTTAATTGTTATAAAAATTATATTTCATTTTATTTTATGTTTTTGTTCTATAGGTCAAAACTCTTCATAGACAATCACAAATCTTTTAACATATCCTTTTAGTTGTAAGCTTGAACTGAACTTTAAATCAGTACTTCACTGATGCCTCCTTTAGGACTAATGCTGACACATGTGGGTTGACATCAGAATTAATTCATTTGTACTACTGTTACTTTTCTGGAGCATGGCCACAGCCTGATATCTTGCCATCTATTGTTTTATCATGTTTCTGAAGTGCAGGTGACACCGGTAAAAACTCCTAAAATAACAGTCTACACCTCAGAAAGTAAAGTAGTGAAGAACTCAACAAAATATGCCTTTATTAAACTCAATCCCCATGACATGTTAAGCAATTGCACACATCTATTTTTCCATAGTCCTGGGAGACAACAGATCCAATCTGGAAAATCTTTTATTTTGGTCAAAAGAAAAAAAGAAAAATCACTTGATATTCAACCTAATTTTTAACTGAGCAAGAAGAAATAAAGTGTCAGGTTGGATCAAATGAAGGTTTTCAATATAGTTATGTTACTACGGACAGCATGAAAAGCTATATCCTCAAAGACCTGAAAGTAATATTCCAACTGATAACTCTTGAAGAAGGCTAATTCCTCCAATGAAACAAATTTAAAAGTTTAGGTTTGAAGAAGTAAACACCCTCAGACTGGGCAGGAATAATAACAGGCTGAGTTAAGAGTCTCATTAGAGTAAGTGGTGTTAAAACACAACGCAAACAGCAAGATCTAGTGACTTGGGTTGTTAGGCTGGCAACTGGGATATAACCTATGTTGGACCAAACTGGAGCCTTTTTTTATATCTAATATAAAAAATATCTGTTACTCTAAAATTACTAGTAGTATAAAAAAGCTCATGTATCATAATTGCTGTATTTATGCCTTCTCGAATTCTATTTACCTATTCCTTGAATATATCATTAAAATACTGAGAAACGGCCGGCGCGGTGGCTCAATAGGCTAATCCTCCACCTTGCGGCGCCGGCACACCGGGTTCTAGTCCCGGTTGGGGCGCCGGATTCTGTCCTGGTTGCCCCTCTTCCAGGCCAGCTCTCTGCTATGGCCCGGGAGTGCAGTGGAGGATGGCCCAGGTGCTTGGGCCCTGCACCCCATGGGAGACCAGGAAAAGCACCTGGCTCCTGGCTCCTGCCATCGGATCAGCGCGGTGCGCCGGCTGCAGCGGCGGCCATTGGAGGGTGAACCAACGGCAAAGGAAGACCTTTCTCTCTCTGTCTCTCTCTCTCACTGTCCACTCTGCCTGTCAAAAAAAAAAAAAAAACAAACAAAAAAAAAAAACAAAAAAAAAAAAACAAAACTGAGAAACAAAAGTTGCTTAACTACTTTAGGCTTATTTTTTGCACACCTGCTTATGAGTACTTCTCAGATAAAGCAAAAAGATTAACTGCTAAGAATACTAGAATGCAAGTTCGAAGTGGGCCTACTACCTAACTCCATTTAACTAAAACCCACATACACATAGTATATCCTCAAATAGTCTAATAATTAGCCTAGGCTGTACGTGTCAACAGATGTCTGATTTATTTAACAATGGTATTCCTTCCACTATCCAACATGGTGCTCAACACATGGTAGGCATTCCACAAACATCTAATAAATAAAAAATTTCTACTTAAAAAAGTTAGATGAGGGATTGGTGTTGTGGCACGGGTTAAGCCTTTGCCTGACCCAAATGGTCACTTGTTCGAGTCCCAGCTGTCCCACTTCT